CAGTTCCAATTCTAGTTGTGCACTGTCCGTCTGTCTGTCACAAAACTTGTCCCAACTTGAATTTTAAATTGGCCATCATGAGGCGACACATGTGATCACTGATCGCTCTTGTTTATTAGTAAAAACTAAAAAACTAGAAAAAAAAATGCATTTTTGAAAGTGAAAATGTTTTATGATACCACATATATTAATATGTAAAAATAAAATGTTCATATGCATAATTATATTCAATAATTCTAGTAGTATATTTATGCTTTCCGTATTGGAGTGCATTTGTATAATAATTTCAAATTCTCAAGTAGTAGAATATAGTATTACACTTCTCAGCAGAAATTGTAGACCCAGTGACATTTTCATTGCTGCGACTCCAGGAAAAAACCATGCAAGATCTCTTTAGAAAATACCGGAGAAATGAAGAGGAAATTTAACCGCATGTAAAAATTGCTTTTCCAGTGAAATGTTACCCATAAAGAAATCTAAAGTTATGGTAACAAGCATGTATTCTTAATCAGCTGTTCGTTTTAAAGGTCAAGTTTACTTTGCGGCTTTTAACAACTTACGTAAACTTGGAAATTCGAGATTTAACAACCTTTACCTTTATAAGATCAGCTGGCAGATGATATATCATGTTCCATGCCATTATATTTTCTCTATTCAAGTTTGATATCGGAGATTTTTCTGTCTATTGTATTGAATAAGATAGCACTGGAGAAAAAAAAAATCCAAAATTAATTATTTGTTTTTTAAACTTCCTTAGATCACCCGACATTTAAGATTAATTTTTTTTTAGCTTATTTGGAATTCTTCATGATTTAGTGTCAATTATACTGTTATTTATGGTTTTTCTTCAGTCTGTAATCCATTGAGAGCAGTTCTTGGTGGCTAGTATTAATGTTAAAATCGTTACCATGAAATCAAGAACAAATCTTACTGTAGTTGAATGACAACTTCTAAAGTTGCCACAGTAAGCCTCAATGGTTGAGTCAGTATGGTTGCTTTCGTATTAAAGTCTGTTGCACCACTTGAATCTTTTATGTCCCCCAATACCATTGTCAGGTTTCCTTCATGTGACGATTACCTTTCCCATTTTTCCTCTATTTTGGGAAAACACCTCATGGCAAATTTTTGGAAATTTATGTTGTAAAATTTTCCAATTTGGGAAAAACAGCTATTGTGAAATTTGCCAATTTAGGAAAATATGCTAGCATTCAAGGTGTTGCAATTGTTAAAATAAATCTCAATAAATTTTACTTGAACTGTCCGGCTTTTCCTGTCATATGAAAACTACAAGGACAGGCTAAAATGATTACCGATTTTAAAACTGATATCAATTAAAAGTCCTGTTTTTATTCACAAAACATGTATAAATTTATTAAATTAAGTACTTTTTCTTGGATTGGGGAAAAAAAACACCATAATTTGGATGGGGAATGAGGCTGATATTCAGACCCAAGGGATATGAACTTTAATATGCTTAACTTGGTTGGTAGCGAAGTAATGCCTGAAATAATGCACAACAGGGCACCCTGGATCTTCTTCCACTAGTAAAACTAGAAACTTAACAGTCCAAAAATATGTAGTAAGATTGTCACAATATGCTATAATTACATTGTTATTGATGATTTGACTTTTGCAGTCAAAAACGTTTGTATATGAGCATTTTTCAAAACTTTGGAAAAATTTCTTGTCAAAACTTAATACTGGTGTATAAGGTTTCTCCAAATCAGCTCAACTCTTACCCATGAATGTCTTTTCATTCAAAAATACTTATCAAAATAATATTTTACAAAATTGTATTGTATTTAGGATAAAAAGCAAATGTTTTAATTGGTAAATGTTAAAATTTCCTAGTTGAGACCACACTATAGAATTTCCAAAAAGAACATTGATGATTGTAAAAAGATAGAATCACCTTTGTGTGAAACATTTATGAAGGGGCACCATTAGTAGTTTGGCCCTCATTGACCTTAAAAACTGTCTGTGACCTTTATAATATTGTATCTAAGCAATTTAATAAAAACCAATGAAAACAGAGAGGTGAGAATTTTTCTAAGTATACACATAAAAGCTTGTAGACTACTATTATTTCATGTTATAAGATTTTTTTTAAATATCAAGGTGTAGTTTTACCTGCTTATATGTGATGTATGTCTTTAAACTACTTGTTTTCCTTATATAATCTGGAAAATTTCTGAAAATTAAAAAAAATATTGAGTAATTGTATCATTTCATCTCGTTATTTCTATTTGAACATAGTACTTTAAAATTTGATAAGAGAGTCATTATAAAAAGATAAAGACTGCTGCCATTTTCATCATAATGTATGACAATTTTGTGAACATTCTCAGAAACAATGTACTACAGTATAATTATGTGGATCTGTAAAAAGAAAATTAGATGATCACATAGAATAAATTAACTTTAATTCAGGGAGATTTTTCAGCTCACCTGAGCCCATGTTGAGTTTTATTTATTATTACTTATTTCATTTCATGTCAATAAATCTTTGACCAGGCAGCTGTTTATCTACCTATGTCTGTTTCTGAAACTGGTTCATTTACTTAGGTATGTCTCTCAGAAACCAAATCATATACTTGTGCTTCTCTCTGAAACATCTCTCTCTGAAACTGGTTTATTAAGTAGTGTCTCTTGTTTACTTACTTTATGCCTCTCAAAAACTGGTTTATCTACATATGTCTACCTCAAAAACTGGTTTATCTACCTGTTTCTATCTCAAAAAGCTGGTTCTTTGACTATGTATGTCTCGAAAGCTATCTATGAGAATTTGAAATAGTTTGATTAAAATAAAGCATTATATACTAATCATACTTCTGTTACGGTGAATTTGATCGGAGGAAATTCAAATACATATATATGTATATAAAAGGTTTGTAGTTTCTATTCCAAGTATGATTTATGTACAAAATTATCTGCTTCTCAAATAACTCTAAATAAATTGTGTCTTGTCTGTATCGAAACAATGCTTGCAAGTTAAGTGATTGCTAAATTTATATTAGCAATATGAAGTCATTTAGGTCTCTTGTATCAATTGTAAATACAAATGAATTTGTCTTGACTGAAGAAAAGTTTCATCTCTTGTTCTTTTTACCTTGTGACTGCAGTAGTATCAGATTCTATTTCACATACAGTTATATGACAGGTACACATTCACGCAACAAAATATGTGTCATTTACTTCCAAACAGCAAGCGCGTGCTTTAGTGTGACAGAATATGTGTGTCAGTATAAAGACAGTTTACTTAAAGTGTGCTTTGACCTGTTTTCCTTTGGTGTCATAAATTGTTTAATAAATAGTGGCATTCTTTTTTATATACTTTAGAAGAAATTGCCATTTTTAGCTTGACGAGAGTCACCCTTTGGTTTAGTTTTGCGTACAAGTTGGTACTTTAAAAACTTCTGAAGGGAATGGGTTGAAATTTCACACCCATGTCTGTGATTATCTTTTGGGCATAGGTCCCATAACTCTGAGTTACAGAATTTTACTGAGTATTGCCCCTTTTCATACTGTCAAGCACTGAGGGAAGTCAAGAGCGCTGTCCTACAAACAGTTTTTGCTTCAATTTTAATATAGATTAATTTACTTGAATCAATGTTGACTCCATGCCAAACTGGATAACTCATGATATCATGATTGTAAGTAACTAAAATGCTATGAAGGGTTTTAGACAAACTTTTAGAGGAAGATGACAAATGCTTGCCTGTTTCCAAACTGTATATTGTTCTTAGCTCAATGTTTGAAATCCCTTAAAGATTTAATGGACTGTTCCAAATTCAAAACAAGTACCTTACATAATTATGCATTACACAAATATTAGTTAGTTTATGAGAGGTTCTGTGAACTTGGTGTCACATCCTTTAAAATCGACCTGATTATTGGTTTGCTTTTGTTAATGGGTTTTAAATTATACAATATGCCAGGTGTAAAAGCCAAATTAAACAACAAATACAATTTATGCAACACATACTATTTCAGAGACCCCCCCCCCCCCCCCAAAAAAAAAAAAAAAAAAAAAAAAAAAAAACGTTGAAACATCAAAATGAGTTTTGCAAGACTTGAAGCATGCATGACTTCAGAGAAAATAATTATAAAAACTTAATACCTTTATAAACTCAACATACAACTGAAATTTGAAACATCTGCCAAGGGAGAAACATGGATAATAGTTTAGTTTCCATTGGATACCGTTTGGACAATAATGTGTGACATATATTTATAAGATTGAATTACAATAAATTATTTGATGATAATAACTGGTAGGAGAAATAATGTAGGCCTGAAAGGTAACTTAGAATGTGACTATACTCAGAAACATGCAGGAGTTTGTTCAGTAAATTGGGTCTTTGAAAATGCTTAGATTTCAAAGAGTATAATTCTGCTAAACAAGAGAGAGAGAAAAAAAATTACATTTCAAATTTGTTTTGGTATTTTAAGATCGGAATTTAATTGTAATTTTTTTTTATACCCAAACTTGATGAGTTTGCAAAAGCTTAAAGATTGAAATGTTCACAGTTGAATTAACTGTTCATGTTATATGTTTAATTTGACTGAACTTACAGTTTTTATGCAGTAACTCATGTAGAGTAGGCTTTTTTGTATGTTCACATGTAGCACTTTTTGCGCATTTTATGAAGGTACCTTTATAATTCTGCTGACAGGTGGCCTAATACTGCTGACAGGTGGCCTTTTACTGTTGACAAGTGGCCCTATATTGCTGACAAATTGCCCTCTTACTGCTGACAAGTGGCCCTATATTGCTGACAAATTGCCCTCTACTGCTGACAGGTAGCCTTTTACTGCTGACAAATGACCCTCTCCTGCTGACAAGTGGCCCTCACTACTGCTGACAAGTGGCTTTAGATACTGCTGACAAAAGCTGATCACATTCAATTGCGGCAGCTGCAAAAGATATCATAAAACATATCCGTATTTTTAATGTGATAAAAAAAATTGAAAATAGAAACAAAAATTTGTACTTTCAGAATGAGTTGATAGGACAGAGTTTGTTTGATTATATTCATCCGCGAGACATTAGTAAAGTAAAAGAACAGTTCTCGTCGTCCGATCTAGCACCCAGGGAAAGACTCATCGATGCTAAAAGTAAGACATTTTATCATACGTATTTCTGTGTTTTAGTTTTGTTTTCAATTTTTACCCACAATGCACAGAACACTAGTTTACAGCTTACCCTTTTAATGTTAGCTTACCCTTTTAATGTTAGAGGAGATAATTGAAGACTTGTGCTACAAGTTGGTTTTAAGAAAGAATGTGAATAAATGGAATATTTATCCGTTTTTTGATCCAAACAATTTTTGTATGACTTGTATACCAGAACAGTCTTTGTTGGCAAGGTTGAATGTACCTGGCTGGTTAATTTTAAGTAAAATACCCATTAAATACAAAATGGACTGTTCTATATTCAAAACAGGTCCAGTCCATGACACAAATTCAGTAGGGTTATGGTTAAATAAAAGTGTCGCAAAAAAAACTTCAAGGAGAACAGTTATTATTATACCCCCACAAACGAAGTTTAGGGGGGGTATATAGGAGTCAGCTTGTCGGTCGGTCGGTCGGTTGGTCGGTCGGTCGGTCGGTCGGTCGGTCCGTCCGTCGGTCGGTCGGTCCACATCATGGTTTCTGGACAATAACTAGAGGTTGGAATGAGATATTGTAATCAAACTTGGTATATAGCAACCTTATGTGGAAACTCCGGTTGGTATTGCATTTGGACCCCCTGGGGTCAAGGTCACCGTTACTAAAAATAGAAAAATGGTTTCCGGACAATAACTAGAGTTAGGAATGAGATATTGTTATCAAACTTGGTGTATAGCAAGCTTATATGAAGACCTGGGTTGGTATTGCATTTGGACCCCCTGGGGTCAAGGTCAAGGTCACCGTTACTAAAAATAGAAAAATGGTTTCCGGACAATAACTAGAGTTAGGAATGAGATATTGTAATCAAACTTTGTGAAAAGCAAGCTTATTTGGAGACCCCAGTTGGGATTACAATTAATTGAAATATTTCTTTGTACACAGTTGATAGTTTGTGTTGAAATTTTTCTTCAGACTACTTATTTTTCAAAAAGTTGCTGGTGGGGGTATTAATCACCTTCAGTGATAGGTCTAGTTTTATATAACTTTTGTATATTTAAGCATTTAAGCAATTGTTTACTGTCAAAATTGCTAAACCCCTAACATATTTGAACCAAAAGTACATGTATTAAGGCTTTGGCCAGGCCAGTCTGACAAGGTGGCTGTTGGCTGACTAACTTTACAGCCTGATATTCCCATACTTGATAATGAACAGTTCCAAGAATGGAAAATAGGCCCATCTGTACAGGGTATGAAGAGTTGAAAAAGATGTGATAACGTAAATTATAGAGACACATTTCAAAAAGCGAGTGATTTTCAGTAAACATATCTTATTTGATACATGTATAAGATAATTTAATGATAATTTTCATATAATATGCTGTTGATTCAAATGTAACTGTGTTACCTTATAACTCTAAAAACAGATACTTTGTCAGTTTGAGTGACTCAAGTGTTTTGTCAGTTTATACAGAATGGATTTTAGTTTGATTGTGTAGGAAGCTTTAAGATTATAAGCACACCCTCAATCCGAACCTGGAGGCAGCCAGTACATAGCAGTGAGTGTAAAGTTTCTTGGACTTACCCATCACAGGGTTTGAACCTACACTGCTTACAGACCTTAGATTACTCATATTTTAATGCAAGAACCACTCAGACTAATTCAGTCATGCCTCTGCAAAAAATTCATTTCATATATAGAAATTTTTTACTTTGCATGTTTAAGCCTGACTCAGCCTATTTAAGTAAGCCTAGCAAGTCTTGTGTGTTGTAAGATTTTGTTTTACATGCATATAATTAACATAGAAATCTTAAGAACATTTTTATATCCTATTTCTAGCATTAATGCCAGTAAAAACCGAGTTGCCACAGCGACCTACACATCTGTGTTCCGGTGCACGGCGATCGTTTTACTGTCGGATGAAGTATCGAAGTGAGAACTGTGATAGCACGAAGGGCATCAAGTTTGAGAAGGAGGAAATGGAGTTTGTACATCGAAAACGAAAATCAGGTATAAAAGGTTGCTACATTTTTTCTCATTTTGCATTTTGTCCATGTGATTGAAAAAAAAGTGTATGTACATTGAAAAGGATAATCCAGTACAAAAAGCTTGTTAATTTATGATATGTTACGTGTTAACCATCTGTCTAAATTAATTTCGTATCTGGGAATTAATTGAAAAATTATACATTGAAAAAAAATGTCTGGTAAAAATTGGAGCTTAATTTTTCCACAAAAAACACAGTACACTATGCACTCCTCAATTTTCATATAGCCCTCTCAAGAATGGTCATTTCCAACTTTAAAGCCGAGTAGGTGAAATAAACTGAAGTCGAGAGACGGAAAAGAATTTACTTAATGTTTTAAGCAACTCCACTAAAATTTGAATTTTTTCCATCATAGTGGGAAAATCTGCAAAAGATGGCAATGAAAAATACTCTAGAATTGAATTGAAAATCTTTTTTTTTTTTGCATGATTTCATAGCCTTTTTTTTTGAGTGAAAACTGAAAAGCCCTGCAAAGCTTTCCATTTTTGATTTATTTTGCAAAATTAAAATGATTATTCTGGAGTGAGGAAATGATCTGAAATTTTGCATGAGACCTACATCAAATGGTACTCATGTCTCGCAAAAATATTTCCAGTTCCTTCTGGTCAAAAAACTTCAGTGGAGTGAGTCCCTTTAAAATTCTGTAGAGTATAATGTATAAATCAAGGTTAAGGTCACACAATGCCATTATGTTAGAAAGTCAGTCTGGTTACACATTTTTATCTATTCCAAGAAGAATAATTAAATTAGATTTGAATACCAGTCTGATTTGTTGTAATATTTAAATACCAGGAGACAAATTATATTTCTGAACTAAAGATAAAAGTCACAGTAGATTTATTCTAAATGTAAAATTATTTGGAGCATTTGTCCGTATTATTATGTTAAATACTATGAAGAAAGTACTTAGTGACTTCATTTCATGAATAGTTTTAATGTAGCACCCCTCAGTGAACAAGGTTTCTATAATCGAAAGTGAAACTTCAGAAAAATTTTAAGACAAACTTTACAGATTTCTTTAAAACTTGATTGGTATTAGAATCTATAATTAAATTCCAAGTTTTTATAATTTTGCTCAGGCTGTTAATATCAATGTCAACGCACAGTTGGAATATGGGTCATATAATAGGGTAGTAAAAATATGATTCCACGGTGATTTCTAGGTCATGTTTGAATACAATAAATATAAAAACTGGTTCAGTGGCCCAGTTACAATGTTTAGGTCAAGTTATCCCCTTTCCTTTTGTCAAAAACTTGCAAAACTTTCATTAAACTACTTCCCCTTTTTTTCCAAAGAGGTGACATTATCCGGATATCGTGATGGGGGGCTTTTTAAAAAAAGGGCCCAAAAAGTCGGTTATTGGTTTTTGTATGTTTATTATACGCCCATCAAATGGCTTTGCCCATGGTATTCAGAAATCATATTGGATAAGTCGTTCACTTGTGGAAAAAATTTTAATTACTGGTTAGTTATCCAGGAAAGTCAGTTAGATGATCGACAGCTGCAATATGACCAAAAATCTGTTAAAATCGGTGGGAAAAAAACCCAGAAAAACAAACATACCTTATAATATTAATCTGTATATCCTTTTTTTTCAGACCAAAAATCCTATACTGTGATACATTTTACTGGATATTTAAAGTCCTGGCCAACTTCCAAAATAAACATTAGTAGTGAGGACGATATTGAGGACAATTGTAACTTCTTAAGTTGTTTAGTGGCCATTGGGCAAACAAGAACTACTGTAAATCAAAATAATCAGACCTTGTGTTCAGGGGCCACAACTCCTGTGTCAAATATATCATGTGGATTAGATCTTAGACCAATGGAGTATATGTTCAGGATATCATTAGATGGGAAATTAACATTCATTGATCAAGCGTAAGTATTTTATTTGCCATTTGTTTGTTTGTTGGTTACTGTTGTTTGATCCTTTAATTTTTCACACTGTCTTTTCTGTATTGTACATGTTGTTTATATAGGTTGGTTCAAACACTATTATGACATACCCATCAACCACCAATACATAAATGCCCCCACAACTTTCTGCTAAAATGAAAAATAAATGTAACATCATCAAATTTTTTTTCCCAACTGGAGCTTATGTAAAAGAATATCAGCTTCAAATAGAACTATTTTGTGAGACTTAAGCTTTTATTTCAAAGTTATTGTTTTAATTTAGGAGGCTGACCAAGTTCTTTACTGGTCACGTTTGGTTAACAGCAGGTTAAATGATATATAAAATTCCACATGAATTCTATTTTATGCATCTGTTAACTGTATTAATGTAAGCTGGTAGGATGTCTTTATTTTCAGAATTATTATGACACTCATTCTGTATTCAGTATTCTGCAGACATCATTGTAGAGTAAAAACAATCAATACCTTTTGAAAATAATAATTATTGCAATTTTCAGAATTAAAATAAATGTCAGAAAAGATTGTTATAGCAATGCCAAGTTTTGAATGTCAAGGTTGAAGTAGGCACATCAAATCTAAAAATAGACTTGTTACTGCATTTATTATGTAAAGTTTGCAATGTCAGGGTTGAAGTATTTTTTTCATTATCGGTCACATTTGAAAAAAAAACATTCAAAATTTTTTACAATATCATTATTAATTTTATGAAGGGATTTAGGATAGGACTTTTGTGTGTTGTGAAACTACATGGTGTTTCACGTTAGGTACAATTGTGCCCTGACAGTCCAAACTTGTACCATAAAATGTTAACATAAAAGATAGTTTTGTGGAATCTTGAATGTGTAAAAAGCTATGTCTACTGTTTTTATATTACAAAATAATAGTTGGAATTTAGGAAACAGTTAATACTTTATTACCAATAGGAAATAAATATGTTTGTAATATGTTTGTATATGTAAAACAGAAAATTATTGCAAAAGAGTTAAAACCCTACTTTAAATAGCAGCATAATATTTTGTTTTGGGACATTATAATATATTCTGTTTATACAGTCAAGCCTGTGTACAAAGGCCACCAAAGGGAGAGACAGGTAATGGTCTTTGTAGACAAGTGGTCTGTATTTTGAGGTTACTTTCTTCAGTTTTATTAATGAAAGGTTCTAAAAAAAACCTATCTACAGTGTTAATCAGAGGTGGTCTTTAACACAGATTTGACTTTATGTACATTATTCATTGGTGTTAAGTAACACAGATATTTTTATGTTACAAGTTTTTTCAAGAATTAATTGTTAGATTACAGAAACAACAGAATTTCATCTTTTATAAATTTAATAAAACTATTTCATTAGATAGAGCTTTATACCCTACATGTCGAGGGTTGACAGCAAAACTGCAGTAACTAGCATGAAATAAAGAAGGACTTACAACAGTTTTGTGATTAACACTTTATGTTCAAAGGCAACAGGATGTTAAGCTTTTATGAGGAAAAGAAAAATAGAAATGAAAAGATTTTGTTGTCAGACAATCTATAAGATATGCCTCTTTTTATTTCAGGACCACTGTAGTATTGGGTTATTTGCCTCAGGAATTACTCGGCACTTCCGTGTACGAATATTACCATCAAGATGATCTGACACGTATGGCCGAAATCCATAGAAAAGGTTTGATATTATATTCCATGTTTCTATTTTAATTCTTTGCTCGCACACAAGTTTTCAATTTCAACAAACATTAAAATTTTCACCTAAAGATTGGCTGTGAAGAAGGGGGTGGGGGGGGATTGCCACAAGGAATTTTGTCTTTTGCGAAAGTTATCACATCGATTTGCAGGTAAATTATTTACAAGCAGATCTCTACCTATGCATGCAATAATGCATAAAGAGGTGCTTGAATTCTACCTTCACCAATAAATGTAAGAATCTCTTTAACAGTGCAATGGTCTGACTTGAAGTCCAACATAAAAAATAATAATAAAAAAAAAATATTAAAAATAGATTTGTGCTCTAATAATGGCTGCTCTGACGTGTTGTCTAAAACATTTCCTCTAACAAAAGACGGTTATTACTTTATATGTATTTATGAAATATTTATTTTCATTTGAAAATAATTGTAAGATAATCGTATAAATGCATCTTCTTAAAAGCTTTCAGACATTTGCTGTAATGTTTTTTTCAAAAAGTCATTTTATCTGGAATTTATAATTCATTTCTTACGTCAGACTGCTTCCTTTTTAAAATAGTGATGCTTTTCAGAGCCTTTGTTCTGTTTATTAATGACATTAAAGAAAAATGCCAGTTTTAGAAAATTGTTGTAAAAATAAGGGTTTAGATACTAAATAAGGCTATACTTATTTTTATCCAATTTTGAATATAACATAATTGATATAGAATTTAAAGAATTATTGTCTCCTTAAATTGAAGGGTTATATATAACCTTCAAATTGGTGCAAACCAAGATTAGCCGGTACTTCATGGTTTGCTAATATAAAATGTATAAGGATAATATACATGTATAAGCATTATTATATTTTGAAATTTTTCATAAAAATGAGGGCATACATAGTCTTGATTGAAAGATGGACAAGACCGTTTAAGATATTTAGCAGGGTAAAGAAGTTATTAGATAAAATTACACATGTTAGTATTTTAAGGTAATATTTTATTTCTTCCATTTTCAGTGCTTGAATCAAAAGAGAAGGTTCAGACCGGGGTGTACAGATTTAAATCAAAGAAAGGTTCCTTTCTGCCAATTCGCTCAACATGTTTTACATTTAGAAATCCATGGACTAAAGAAGTGGAATATATTGTCTCAACAAACTCTGTCGTTCCGTAAGTTGAACATGTTAATTACTTTAGACTGTTCATAAATATTTAAAGGCTTTCGGTTATTCAAACCAATGATCTGAAGTACTAAACTTATGGTTGTTAAAAATGTCTTGTTTTCTTGATACATAAACATGCAATTTTCTTAAGTATATATTCCAAAAAAATTTTTATACAGTCAAACAGTTGTCTGAGGAATAAATAGGATTTAAGTTTTCTGATTTGAGTATTATTTTTTACCAAAGAAATATGAATTTTAAGGTGTGTTTTTCACCAAAGAAGTATGTGAAAATTACATTTTTTTGTTCTTTTTGCAATATTATACTTTAAGATACATTTTAAAAATTTTCATGAAAATTAGCATAAATCTGGAGGCGTGCTGCTTAAATCTCTTCTTAGGTCATTACACAAATTCCTACCTGTCACAATTATTAAATCATCTGGAACCCAAGGATAAAAGCCTTTGCGCCTAGAACAAAGCCAGACTAGCTTGCACTGTTAGTAGCTGAATTATTTGTATTTTGATATTGGAGTCCCTTAAATATTGAGTGAACTGTTCCAAGTTTTAGCATGGTAAAACCTTTACACAAGATTCAGCAGGTAATGGGATAATGTACTAAATTAGGACTGTCCGAAACTAACTTAGATAATGTATACTGCGAATTCACTTATATTCGTGGGCATGAAATTTCGTGGTTTTATCAAAACGGGCATTTTCGTGGGTTCTTAAATTCGCGGATTTTCGTTTTCTTGTTATAAAAATTCAGTAACCTAATGCAAAGTAATCTTAAACTTAATCGCCGAACATTTTTACTTAAAACATGAACACATCTTTACTTGTCACACAGCGCTTGTCAATAAATTTAATCCTTGCCTCTGGGCATAATCTAATATAGCACAGTTATAATTGACTGCAATTAACACATTGGTGTGACATGATATGCACCTCTATTGGACACACTGCCCCTGTAATTCGCCGATGTAAACATCGCATAATTTATACGACACCTGACCTGACAGGTTTTAACCAGCTAGTTTAAGAGTTTACACCCTGAATTGGTTTTAACATATTTGACAGTAACTACATGCAACGTCACAGCGACTGTGTAAATTTACATTCATATAATTAAAATTAATCTCGAGTATATGTGGATTTTGTAAAAGTCGGTGGCGTCTTTGATGTTTACGAAATAGCATTCGCACAGATACAGATTAAAATTCATATAAACTGGATCATTTAAAAACGACAAAAGAATGTACAATAAATCTGTTTTAGCGATCGTATTTTTTTTATAGTTTTGTGTACTTACGACATTAATATCAAAGACTTTTTTTAAAGTGACAATTTTTATTAGCGCTAATTATTGTACTGCCTGGGTTCCCATATAAATAATTAACTCGATTATGTCAAGTATTCTTGTCTATGATTGTCTAGTAGATTACAACGATCAAGTATGTATATGCGACATTTGTGACAGTAAATTGAGGACATATATTCGAGTTTTTTTTTCAAGTTTCTTAAATATTGCAAACGGATTTAATATGTCACTTACCTGATTATCTGTCTGTATTTACATCCATTTCACGAAATATCGGCCGGAAAAGAGCCGACGCATGTTTGTAATATATAGGACAGAGACTGAGTAAGAGGTATTTGTTGGGATAAAAGTTCGTCGAATCTTAAATTCGTGGATTGACCTACCCACGAAAACCACGAAAATTCGTGCCCCACGAATAATAATGATTTTACAGTATGCTGTGTAAAACAACTTGTTTAAGTTTGTTACCCTAGCAACCAGAATAATTACCATATGGGCATATGTACACGAACAGAAAATACATGTATACTGTAGTGCAACCTCTACAGAGTAACCCTCTGTAGTGCAACCACCTCTTCCCAACAACAGTGTTGTGTCCTCTCAAAACAAGACTTTCACAATAAATTTCACCTCTCTAGAGCAATACTGCTTCACAGCAAATCAAAATCTTTATCTTCCAAAGAGTGTAGCTAGGTAGACATTGTAATTTCTTTCCAGAAAATTTGACTTCTCATCAAAATATTTTTGCTGGAGAATAGATTCAAAGGAGTAATTGAAATGTTACTTTTCTAGAACGGAGGAAGTGACAAGTTCCGGTCAAGGTTACGAAAGTGCTGGCGTTCTTTCACTTGATACTGATTGCTCCACTGCCGATTGCTCAACTACCGAAGAATTAAGTGGTGAGTAAATTTGTTTAAGAAATCGTTCAGGGAAACAATCAATAGGTAACTACTTTTTGCACAAATTTATGAATCTCCAGCATTTGGAGGTTTTAAACCCCTCTTTATCAAGAAGTTTGCTGTTTATTTTGTGAATCACATATTAATAATCTTTTTTCCTTACACTAAGTTATTAACAAATAAGATTGCCCTTTATTTGTAGTACAGAAGGTAGAAATAAATTGCATATGCTAAAGTTGCTTTTTAAGACAAGCAGTCTCTGTTGTTTAGCCACTTTAAACATCTACCAATTTTAACTTTTCATTTTGAAAATGACAAATTTGAAATTTTGTTTGATAGTTATTCATCAAATTGTTTTCTTGTCACAGGAAGTGCCCGTCATGAAAAGCTGATGATTCCAGGCTTGCCAGGTGGTACGAAGCCTGGCGCTGGACGCATTGGCCGACAAATAGCAGACGAGATGTTAGAAAGCTCAAGGTTAGTACTGTATTGTAGCTTAATTTTCAGGCACTGCTAGATTCTTATGAATTATTTGCAAGTATAATTACTGTGTTCAACCTAAATAATACACTTTCGTGAAATCTCACCAACCGCCTCCGTGGGCAAGGGGTTAGAGTCGATGACTTCTAATCCAGTTACCTCTCTGGCTTGGGTTCGATCCCCGGTAGATACTTTGGTAGTTTAGCACGGAGGAAGGTAGTCTAGTACTAGTGTAACTCTCCAGGAACGATGGTTAGGAAACTACCCGCCTATATGACTGAAATACTGAAAAGGCGTAAAATGAAACAAACAAACAAAAAAAGTCTTTTATAGGCGTATTGTTATTCTGAAAAATCTTCATGGCCATAACTGGGATTTGAACCACAGACCAGGTAGACACTCAACCAAGTTGCTAAAAGGTTATCCCAATGGGAAGACTGTTGGAAATGGCCTAAACGAAATGGCCTAAACCTTACATCACTTTTGCCCATTAAAATTTTCATGAAAGAACTTTTTTATGTTCTACAACTTGATTTAGAATAAAAGCCCATAATATCAAATAAGTTTTGAAAATATTTTTAATGATCTGATTGACACAAACCTAGTTTGTATAATTCATACAAACATGTAATTTTGTAAGTTGAATTGAGTAATTGACATTTTCTTTACATTTTAAAGTTAAGCTGTTATTTGTTATCCACCTTTGGGAATATTACATTGACATTTGAGTTTGATTTTAGTCTTTTGAGAAACATATTTTACATAAAAGCTCGGACATTTTTTGAGTTTCAAGCCTGATTTATTGAATTTCAGATATTTTAACTTGAAAATCATTTATCGTAACTTTAAATGTTCTATGCTTAAGTGCACATCGCCCCCTCCACATATTTTATACTAGGATATTATTGTGGAAACTACTAGAAATTTTTTCTGACATAAATTCCTTTTGACAGATATTTTTGTCAAATTGAATAGTGATTATGTCATGTAGGAAATTTATCATTTAGTGACTTTTGCTGAGCATGTCCTTGGTGTTGCGTCAGATGTTGATGTGCAGTACAATGTTGGGGGTGTCTGTGGACGAGTGGTTAAGGTCTTAACTTCAAACTACTTGGTTATAATGCTGGGAGGGGCATCAAGGTCTTTCCAAATTCAAACTGCTTGGTAATAATGCTGGGAGGGGCATCAAGGTCTTTCCTCACCATAAAAATCGAAAGTACCCATAATTAACAGTGTTGGTGTAAGATAAACTCAACACAAAAAAAAACACGGAAAAATATGAAATTGTACATTGACATACAAATGTGTTACTGCATAGTCAGACTAGAAATCTCTCCTTTCACAGAATTCTTATGCTATTTCAGGTCTAGCAATCCTATTACCTTTGTTGAGTTGATTAATTATATTAAAAACTAAAAAAAATTGAAATTCTTCAAATTAGCTGAGAAAAGTTCTAAATTTCCAAACTGATTTCTGATAATTATATCAAATCAACAGGGAATGAGTTTTGAGTTAAAATTGCTGTTTCAGCTATTTAAGTCTCTGAGCAAATTAAAGAAAACTCAAGAGCTATTGCTAAGACATGGTCATGAGTTTCTGTTGTGTTTTTTTGTGGTTTGATTTTTAATGTTGTAGTAATTGTTGGGTTTTTTTCCCCATATTTATTTTAGGTATGAATTGAAACAAGGATGATGATACACTAAAAAAGGGTACATACATATACATACCATCGTCTTTATTTCTTTTTACATTACTTTGTTCAGACAGCCATTAATGATGATTAGCTATTGTCTACTACTTCTCGGGGAATTTTGGGAAATGAGAATTTGTATTTAGGGATTTACGGAAATGGCACTATTTTACAATTGTCATTAATCTGGTCTTGATTTTCAGATGTTCAAGATCCCCTCAGGTAGTAGATAGTACAAATACAGACGTGTATGAATCCCAGGTGAGTCGTCATTCATTATTTGTTATTTTATTATTGATGTTTTACTGCTACAAATCTGAAAGAGAATGGGAAGAGACTTCGTTTTTTATGGTCTTTTATGTTTTTTTATTTCCAAATCAATGAAAAAATGAAGGTAGACATTCTATTCATAGAAAATAAAACTTTATACATTTGAGTATGCATATTAGGACCAAGCTTAACAAACTGCTTTCACATTAAAGGGGTCTACTCATCAGAATATTTATTATTTGTCCAACTTATTTGTTTTTACCTCCACTTTTTCAAAGAAAAAAAAAAGAGCTATTTATTATACCCCCAAAAACGAAGTTTGGGGGGGTATATAGGAGTCACCCGGTGGTCGGTCGGTCGGTTGGTCGGGCGGTCGGTCGGTCCAGACCTCCGTTGCATTTTCCTTGTCCGGAGCATAACTTGAAAACTAATGGTTGGAATTCAATATAACTAACTACATACAATGGTCAAGCACATTGAGAGGAAGTGCAGTGCACATGAACCATAACTCTATCTTGACTAATTACAGAGTTATTGCCCTTTGTTACGTTTCCTTGTCCGGGGCATAACTTGAAAACTACTGGTTGGAATTCAAAACAACTTCATACAATTGTCAAACACAATAAGGGGAAGTGCAGTGCACAAGAACCATAACTCTATCTAAAGTAATTACAGAGTTATTGCCCTTTATTGCTTTTCCATTGCTTTTTTTTTTGTCCGTTGCATTTTCCTTGTCCGGAGCATAACTTGAAGACTAATTGTTGGAATTCAATATAACTACATACAATGGTCAAGCACATTGAGAGGAAGTGCAGTGCGTAAGAAACATAACTCTATCTTGACTAATTACAGAGTTATTGCCCTTTGTTACTTTTCCTTGTCCGGGGCATAACTTGAAAACTACTGGTTGGAATTCAAAACAACTTCATACAATTGTCAAACTCAATAAGGGGAAGTGCAGTGCACAAGAACCATAACTCTATCCAAAGTAATTACAGAGTTATTGCCCTTTGTTGCTTTTCCATTGCCTTCTTTTTTTTGTCCGGACCATAACTTGAAGACTAATGATTGGAATTCAATATAACTACATACAATGGTCAAGCACATTGAGAGGAAGTGCAGTGCATAAGAACCATAACTCTATCTAAAGTAAATACAGAGTTATTGCCCTTTATTACTTTTCCATTGCTTTCTTTTGTCCGGACCATAACTTCAAGACTAATTGTTGGAATTCATTATAACTTCATACAATGGTCCAGCACATTGAGAGGAAGTGCAGTGCACAAGAACCATAACTCCATCTTGACTTATTACAGAGTTACTGCCCTTTGTTTCTTTTCCTTGTCCAGAGCATAACTTTAAAAATACTGGTTGGAATTCAAAACAACTTCATACAATGGTCAAGCACAATAAGGGGAAGTGCAGTGCACAAGAACCATAACTCCATCTTGACTAATTACAGAGTTATTGCCATTTGTTTCTTTTCCATTGCTTTCTTTTGTCCCGACCATAACTTGAAGACTTATTGTTGGAATTCATTATAACTTCATTCAATGGTCAAGCACATTGAGAGGAAGTGCTGTGCATAAGAACCATAACTCCATCTTGACTTATTACAGAGTTACTGCCCTTTGTTACTTTTCCTTGTCCACAGCATGACTTGAAAACTACTGGTTGGAATTCAAAACAACTTCATACAATGGTCAAGCAAAATAAGGGGAAGTGCAGTGCACAAGAACCATAACTCCATCTTGACTAATTACAGAGTTATTGCCCTTTGTTACTTTTCCTTGTCCAGAGCATAACTTGAAAACTACTGTTTGGAATTCAGTACAACTTCATACAGTTGTCAAGGACATTAAAAGGAAGTGCAGTGCACAAGAGCCATAACTCCATTTTGACAAAATACAGAGTTACTGCCCTTTGATACTTTTCCTTGTCCGGAGCATAACTTGAAACGTACTGGTTGGAATTCAAAACAACTTCATACAATGGTCAAGCACAATAAGAGGAAGTGCAGTGCACAAGAACTATAACTCTATCTTCAGTATTTATAGAGTTATTGCCCTTTGTTCTTTTTCTTTGTCTTTCTGGACTTATTACAGAGTAATTCAATTAAACTTCATCAATGGCCAACCACATTCAAAGGAAATGCAACATACATGAACAACAATTATCTTTAATTGCCCACAACCATAACTCTATGTTTCAATTCTTTTACAAGGTATTCTGATACTAGTAACATCCTCATTTCCGAAGCAGACTTGTGGGGGTATTAATCACATTTAGTGATAGTTCTAGTTGGCATTGTTATTGCCGTTGCTGGTGCAAATGTCGGTGCCGTTGACAGTGTTGTTCAAAAACTTTAACATTGGTCATAATTTTTTTTTATTTCTCAATGGATTTGCCTTCAAATTTGGATACAACGACCTTTTAAGACATTTACGTTGACCACACTGAACTTGACCTTCTCTTGTAAATGACCTTGACCTTCAAGGACAAATGTTTGAATTTTGCTTTTCTTTTGCTATAATTGGTTATAACTTTGTTATTTAATACAATAATTCATTGGTCAAGACATTCAAGTGAACCAAATTGATTATGACCTTCACTCATCAATGACCTTCACCATACAGGTCAAATTGTTGATTTTGCTTTACTTTTGCTATAATTAGCAATAACTTTATTCTTTATAAATATATTGTCTTCATACTTGATTGTTCTTTATAAATGCATTGTCTTCATACTTGAGCACAACTATTTTAAGGACAATATTTTAGAGTAGATTAAACTTAATTTGACATTGACTCATAAATGATCTTGACTTTGAAGGTCAAATTATTGTAATTTCACAGTTTTTTTGCTATAATTGGCTATGACTTTGTAAGTAATGAAGGGACTTTCTTAGAACATGGGCACAACCATGCTTTGGACAAGACATTTAAAAAGATTTAATTGAAATTGACCTTGACCATAATTTGACCTTGACACTTAAGGTCAAATGATGAATTTTTCAAATATTGAATTTGGCATAGGTTGTCATAACTTTATTTATTTACAAATTTGTTTAATTCTTAAACAAAAGAACACTTAGAACGAAAACCAACATGTTGAATAATTAAAAAATGACCTTGACCTTAATTTAACTTGTTATTTATTTACAGATAGGATAGAAATAAAGAATATACTCAAATCTTGATTTATAACAAAACTAATTGAAAAGATACTTATGAACCACATTTAATTATGGATATAAATGCCTAAAATAGACCTATTATTTCTATTATAAGAACATGCCTGCTTTAATAAGATCAGACTGGCTTTATTGGGTGTTACTGTCACACCAACTTGACCTTGATATATGAGATTCAAAACAAAAAGTCATTTTAAATACCAAGTGTCATGTTAATTAAGGCTTTTGCTCGCCAAGTGAATAAAAGCTGTTCAGAAGGAGAAAAGCTGCTTTATACTTGGAGATTAGTTGATTTTGTACTTTTGTGATTTTTATCTCGTAAAATATTTCCAACCTGCTTAAATAAGTATGTGTGCACTATTGGTTCAAGTTCTGATGCCAAAGTGCAAGTATGATGTGGCATCTTTGCTTGAAAGTCAAGTTTAGGTTTGATGAGATTTGAAAAAGATTCAAAATAATGTTATTCTGTAAATGTGCTCCGTTCCAACAGTCAGATAACAAACATTACAGACATATTCAATGAAACAAAATCTCTAAGTTATAACTGAAATAAATGTTAAGATAAATAAAACAACAAACAAGATGTGCTTATTAGGTCTAAAAGTTTTTTTTATTGTTTGTTTATCAAAGTATACCAGACCATTTTTGATGACTGGCAATTAAGGTATATGTACTCATTGAAAAATAATGAAACAAGATAGATATTTACGTATCAGGGATTTTTGAGGTCTTTCACTTGTGGTGCAATTACTACTTAAGTTTTGTCATTTGACTATTGATAGTATGGTCATGTAGAGAAACATTTTATACTGACGAAATACCGATACTGGTAAACATGTAATAAAGCTAGCATTAATTATCGCATGCCACTTACTATCTAAATATCAGGAACTTTTTCTGCTGAAATGTCATATCATATAACAACGACCTTTAAAGTAATTTGTTGTTCATAGGTACTTCTACGCTTTAGTTATATTTCAGCATGCCATATAAGATTGATAGACAAACAACTGTAGGGAAGGTTTGATAAAGTCGGCCAATGTTCTGACCTTAGGCCCTTTTAGGTGATAATTAATAATGTTAATTAGAAATTAGAATGTGATAGGTCATCAGAAGCGAATTGTCCTTTACATACACTAAATTGTGGTTCAGTATTTTGAATGAAATTTGATAAATAGTTTGAAGCGTAGAATGTAACTTTTGAGTAACTTAATGAAGTGTTAAAAACAGGAATGTCAAGTAGTACGATCACCTGCTGGAGCGTGATTAAAATGGTGTTCTTGACTGTGCATAGTAATCATTTGTTGTTACATTAAGGAAAAAACAGTTTTGTTTGTTTAAGTTCTTCTTTGTCCCCTTGTGGTTGAGGAGTTGCCTATATGGGTCGAGGCACCAGAATGGCACCCTTTCATTTATCCCTGTGTGATTGCAAGGGGTGAATAACTGGAGTCTGTGCAACTCTCAGCTCCAGCAGATGACGTGATTTTGACCCCTGGTGTTACTTTAAGTTCCTTGCTTCGGCCCGATATGACCTAAAATGTGTTGGTATTAAACCAAACAAAACAAAGACCTTCATTCTTTGACTGTTTTAATGAACATCAATAATAGTGCTCTTTATCATTTTATTGAACACTGTGTATATAATGCATAACAAAATTAATATTAACTTAAGTGCTTTACACCTCCACAAATGACCTGGTTTGTTTTCCAGCCGTAAAATTCTTCGAAAATTGTCCTTCTAGTAACCTTGTCAATATTTCCCTACCAATTCTAATGAGTTTGACTCGACATTTAAACTGTTATTAAATCATAAATGGCCATTTGTGCTAATAGCTTGTCTTTCATGCTCTTTTTTCAGATTGCATCGAAGCGTTTAGACTGTCTACCTGGGGGCGCTCCACAAACAAGCAGTGGTGAGAAAATTACTGTTAATTAAAAATATTAAATGTTTTCTTGTTGAAATAAATTTACCATAGGTAATTCGAAACAACTTGAAACAGCTCAGTCTCTCTTTATTGAAAACAATTGGTTTTACGTGTAGGTAGAGTAATATGAAAATAAAAGATTATGGGGATGTGTAATTTGTTATGCAATTATATTTATTATTTATTAATTTATATTATTTAATGTATTAACTTATAACTGCATTGACCTTAAAGTATTTAATCGAAGTTAATTTATTGTAAATTATATTTTTTTGTTTTGTATGTTGATTTTATGTGATACAATTTCTTGACAGCAGAGTAAAACACAATATGATGGATTGGTGCAAAATGAATGTAATTCCTTTATTATGTAATATGAGTTACAGCTGTATTGCACCAAACTGTCTGAAGTCTGGGTCATACTTATCTAGTTCCCTTATTAATAAAACAAGTATAAGATAAGTGTATACCTTAACTTACTAAATTTTTGTTTTTGCCCAGCTTTGACATGTTTGAGTTTGGAACAGTCCAGTCAAAGTTTAAGGGGAAAATTGAGCTACCAGCGGTATAGAGCCTGTCAGACTGTACATATCTGAATACTTGCCAGGCTGTGTAATAATTGCAAAGATAGATAATATACTATGTATATGTTAAAGTTTATTATTACGTATTTACAAAATTAAATTAGTCAGGCATACTAATAAACTTTAACCAGCTTAGTGTTTTAAATTATTTTTATAAACAGTCGATTTACTAGACTGTTTAACAGTTTGGCGATTTACCAAAGTAAATGTGTTACTATTCATTTGAAATACTGCAATCCTATTGGACAAAAAATAATTTAAAACACTAAGTAACTTTAATCCTGGTATAAATAATTCCGGTGGTTAGTTATTTCTGTTGGTAATATAGCCCTCAGTTAACAAAATACCGGACAAATACAAAGTATCACATTGACTGATACAACCAACACATCATCTTTTCAATATAAGTTAAAAACCGATGAAGAATAAATATGTTCTGAGATTTTTTTAAAACTTATTTATACATGGTTATATCTTGCATATTTACAGGTCATAACTCTGGTTTAAATGTGTCTCTGCCATCGACGAGTCTATTGACAACCAAAGGTCCTAATGGAATATCAGTGCCTTCATCAGGATTAGATGGTAAGATTGAATTGTTTGTTTACTCATTTTAATTCTTCAATCTGCTAAATTTTCATAAATGGACTTGTCCAGCTTTCACTTTTAGAACTGTCCATTATCAATTTTGGGGATATCAAGCTAAAAATTTAAAGTTAAGTCAGCCAAGGGTATAGAGCCTGGTCAGACTTCACAGATGTGCAGGCTGGCCTGGCTCTATACTGGTGGCAAAGGCATGTCACTTTTGGTACCAGCTTGATTTGGACTGAATGGTTCAATGTTTACATTATCAAAGAATATACATGTCTATGTTTTACTGTTCAGAACTATGTATATTTAAAGTTTCAGATGAGTCTATCTTTGTCTTACTTTATATGATGATGTATTAATTTGATAACATAAATATGCTTTAGACTGTTGTCATGTGTTTTCTAAATAATAATTACAGTCTGTTGTGTGACAGATCATATTTATGCTGTAGACACATTTGAAGTAAAGCTTTCTTAAGTGACAATAATCAATTTTCTACATGTAATTATGTATCTAGTATTTCAATATCTAATGGATATTTAGCCCTGAACCCTGATTAATTTATAATAGACTTTTCCATTTTTTTATTTTGGAACAGTCAATTTTCAATTTTAAGGGATATCAGGATGAAAATAAGGAAGTAGGTCAGTCAACAGTCAGTATGAAACCTGGTCAGACTGTCCTGGTGTGCAGGGCGGCCTATTTTACTTAATGATAGCAGAGGCTTTGCAGTTTTGGTTTAAGAATTGTTAAAATTAAATTGGTAATACTGAAAATATGAATACTTATAGTTAATCCTCTAGATATTTCATAGATCTTTGTTAATTATACCGAATTATGTATTTGTAATTAGGTCATGGGCGTGAATCAACAACATCATTGTTAGATACTGTGATAGAAGAGCAAGCGATGGAGTCCATGACAAACACGTCCGGTACAGACGAGGGAGACGAGGCGGCAATGTCAATCATAATGAGTCTTCTAGAGGCGGATGCTGGACTTGGCGGTCCAATTGACTTTAATGACCTACCGTGGCCTTTATGATGTTGGTTTATATATAGTATTAATGCGTTATCATTTTGAGCGTCGTCATCATCGGAAAATTGTCAAGTTGAATGTGTTCATACGTAATTGCTAGTCTACATGGAGAAAATGGCATGTGTGCACTGATTTGTACATTAGAAGAAAGACTTATCTAGAATATTTCTGTCGAGGGTCAATTACACCTCTGTCACAACTAGTTGGCTTATCTGTTTCATAAAAATGTCAAGCTATTTTGATCGTTGTTGTCGTTGACGTCATGCAAAAACTTTAATGTAGCTCATTATTCAAACGTTTTAAAAGTTATGAACATTATATGAATATAAATAACTTGCTTATCATGATATTGTGCAGTTGTTAGACAAAGGGTATAATTTTGAAAGCTATATTTTTGGAGTTATGCCCCTTCTGGTTATTTAAACAGACGAGCATAAACACCGCATGCAGTGCTCTTGTTCTATTAAGGTCATACAATTTTGAGTATTATGTAGATTATTACGGTGTGTCTATCTTAAGTGCTTTAAGGATTATTGTAAAACGTCCTTATGTCATATTAGTTTGATTTTGTACTAGTCGTGCATGAATTTGATTCTACCCTGTTTTTTGAATTTAGAAGAATTGAAAACAACACAATTAGAAATCACTCTGGAAATAGATAGTTATTTATAACAAATTAGAGTATTTTAGTGTATTTTTATATTAATTTGATTCATATTGAATCAAATACATTTAAATATATATATATTGATTATTTCATGCCAGTTTCAAAATGTGAAGTGTACAATATATTCACATATAATTTGAGTTCTGAAATAAGCATTCAACAGGGAATGTTAGTTCTCAAATACCTTTGAAAGTACAAAAAAAAATTCCCACCAGATATTTGCTCAGATTTACTTAAATATTTTATTTTTCTGTCGACATTTGTGAAATGTTTATGATTGCAATTTCATATTGTAGTAAGAGAGAATTCCATGTGAACTCGAGATTTGTTTTTTTTATTTCTGTGTAAAAAATGAACCTGAAACGGAACTATTGTTCACTGATGGCGAGAGATAAAGGAGAAACTTTACCTGACACTCTAACCTTATCTTAACTGTTATTAACATGTTTTAATAAATACATTTTCACAATTAATATGAAAGTTAGTCTAGAAACTTGAAACCTGAAGGTCAAATCCACGAGGAAAATGTTGTAAGTAAAATAATATGATTGTGAAGAGGGAATTATATTTTAATGTCATTCTTTTACATGTTTTATTGTCACAGCATAATGTTTACCAAGAAAAATGTAAATTGCAGTAACAATTTAATAAAAGTGTTCACTGTTTTTCCCAATAATTTATTTTTCAGTAAATATCAGTCAAGGTTGAAATTATCTACCCTTGTTATAGAATAGAATAACCAAGGTCATTTATTTTTTCCAAAGAAGGATCCCAGGAAAGCAATTGTTTGAACTCCTCCACATTTGTGATGATTTTTTATGAAAACATAAAGTGTATAAAGTTATATAAAATTATAATGAAATATTTTCATAAAATTTATAAGAGATGAAATTATGTTGTTTTTCCTTTTCTTTCTTTTTTTTCGTTTCTCAAAAGAAATGTAAAATAAAATGTGTCTTGTTATTTAACACTTACGAGTATTATAATGTAAAAAGAATAAAATTATCTGGAACAAAATGTTATTCTGCTCTACTAATATGGTTTTGAACCATTTAGCAATGACATTATGCATGCATAATGGACTTTTAAGGTAACATACAAACATCTTTCTTCATTTTGGTATTTTGGAATTCTTTAAACAATAAATTTGTAAATTACCGGCAGCAGATGTATAGCTTAATACTCTTTTAAAAACTTTTCTAAAGAGTAGAATTATTGTGAAGTGCAAACATTTAGAGATTTCCACTTGCCTAAGACACAATTACAGTCATGTACTCCTCCTTATCAAAACATTTTTCGCTTAAATAAGCTTCATCAGTTGTTATGATAAATAACAAAGGAAATAATGTAAACATAACCAAACAGATTCTACATTGATAGACGCCACATTTGGCATGTCAAATATATAATGAAATAAATCGTCTTTTACCATTTTATACAATAAAACATGTACATGTGAATATATAGACATAATTATTGTAAAGAGCATATATAATTTTCTAAAGATTTACATAAAATAACTGGATCCATTTATATTTTGCATAAAACATTCAAAATTTCACCAGGACTGTGAATATCATTATTTTTATTATTATAATATTTGTACATTTCTTAACAATAAAATTCTTATGTTTGATTATTAATATGTTTGGAGATTTATTGGATTCATGCTGTTTTAAGTGATCTATTATAATTAAATAATCTCCAAGTCTTGTAGTGAAATGGTTTTTACCTTGACATAATACTAAATGATCTTGTTGCTTAGATAACAGTAAGGTTGGATGTCTAGTGTTCTAGTTTTCAGACAATTATTTCTAATTTTGATATCAGATGATATTGATAAAAAATTCCCATTTGTAATATAAGTAACTTTTTTTTCATCTAAAGAAAATGCATGTAGTGACAGTTTTAAGTGGAAGCCATTAAATGACATTTACTGTGTCTAAAAGAAAACAAAAATGTATTAATTTTTGAAAATGGCCAAAGAAAATTAAAAAAAAGTTTTACATATTTATTAGTTGAAATTTTTATGGATGTAGCACACTTTTGCAGGCCAAATTTTGATAATAAACTTTTTTTGTCTTTGTTTATAAAACTGAAATTTTCAGAATATTTATATCTGCAGAGTTGAATTTATTTTTATATTTCTTCTAAAATTGAATGTCAATTTACTAATCAGTAACAGTTAAAAACATACAAATCTAAATTTGTAATCTACCTCATATGTTTAAACCTTCTCAAATTATTTAGCTGTGTTGCCATGGTAAACTTTTTTAAACATTTAAAATTTAAATTTGTTTTATAGAAATGGTTGTCGTTTTTTTTTCTAAAAAAAAGAATGTGATATTTTAAAACTTGTACATTTTACCTCATTTATCATTATTATTATTAATAAAAAGACATTGTTAAAAAAGTAAGAATTTCATATATACTATATGTACAGTATATCTGTATTGAAATAAGGAACCTGTGTTAATATTGGTTTGTTAAATGTATGCTCAATAATTGTTATTCCATTGATATGAGATATGGTAATTATTGATTTTAAAATAAATTTCCATGAGCACAATGTATGAAGAGAATATTGACTGCCTGTGATTGTTGAAAAAAAATGTTTATTTCATAAAAAAAACTATTCCAAAGTAACTTAACATAACAAATAATCTTTGTGAATTTCTAAAAAGTCAGCTTCTCATTATGGGATTCTCATTTATCTTGATACCCATGCCGATTTTGTGACAGCAATAAAAAAGGTATTGCTCTGCAGTGCATATATTTTGATGTGACGTCATTTACGTTATACAAACATAGTGTAAAGACGCGCTAAATGTTATTGTTACAGAAAAAAAATGAAAAAATGATTCTTTTGCACTTTAAACAGTCCTTATTTTGGGTATGTGATAAAAAGAATATTATTTTTGTGTAGGTTCATTACTGAATTTATTAATCTTGTTGAATAAAATTATATTTTGCTCGCCAGAGGCTCGCATAATATAATTTTATTCAAGTCGTTCAGTAAATTTAGTATTCGTTCAATATCCTCTATTTATTAAATTTAAAAAAAAAGCTTAACATGAACAGTTTTATTTCCATTGTTATTTTTTCTCTGTTCATAAGAGATAATGCAAAATCTTTCATGCCCAATTGAAGCCGCATAACTAGTGTATGTCAATTTTGGGAAATTTTCTATGTCAAATATAATAAAATTTAGGTTTTTAAATTGAAACGCATCAACAGTTTGAAAACCCTCAGACGGTTTTTGTCTATTTAAGATCATTTCACAGGTTGTTCTTGTTGTATTTATTGATTTAGGATTTGTGTGGACCTTTTAATTTAAAAAAGAAAGTACCGTAACTTAAGCCGTATTTTGTCTATCTTTATAAGTGTGCTAATATGCCAAAATTGTATTGAAAAAAGATTGAGGCCTTACTTCGATTACAAAGTGTATTTTTCTCTGTATTGACTTACAAACTTCTATGTACTTGAAATTAATGTATAGACAAGAAAATTAAGAATTTTATATTACTTATTTCTTCTGTCATGAATTATAACATAACAGAAATGTTTTGATTAAAGATGGTTTCTTAAGGTTACGTATACTGTACATTTATAAAAACATACATGAATTTAACAGTTTTAACAGATGTGCTCTTAGAACAGTATTTTTATATGTATATTGATAAAACATGTGAGAATGATGTGTATATATGATATTTTTAAATGAAATTCATTGAATTGTTGACCATTGATTTTTTTCTCAACAATGTTGTTTTGTTACAAACTGAAAGATTCATGTATAAAATTGACACATTTTGTAAATGCATTAAAAATTAAGATCAGAGTACAGGTAAAGGAGATGTTATACTATTATTCAGGGATATCTGGCCATTTGGACAAGATTTTGAAGATATTATATAATTTGGTAGATTGTCCTTACAGTCAAAACTGTGTTGAAGACCACCTCTAAATAAAGATCACCTTGTTAATAAAGACCATTTCTCAACACAATTTATTGGTTTAATAGAACAGATAAAGTCCCATATAAAGACCTTTTGTCTGTAAAGACCATGTTTGGTCTCTCATTTAGGTGGACTTTGTGCACAGGTTTGACTGTTTACTTTGAAATTTTCTGAACAATCATAGCTTGTTTTTATTACATAACAGAACAGAACAAGTTTATTCAACAATAAGGAATTGAACTTACGTTCCTCTTCCATACATGCAACACATATAAACATAGGTCAATATACATGCATAAACATACTATCGTTATATAGTCATAATTATACATATTATACAATTTACAAAAGTTAATGTTAAAGTAAAGAAAAAACATCAATACAACAAGACATAATTAAAACTATAATCTACAAAAGTAGAGGATGAGCCATAAATCTTATATGTTAGTACTAGCATTGTGAAGTTTATTTACCTTTTGAGCACGCCTGTCAATAAATCTATATCACCTGTAAAGAGCCAGGCCAGCCTGAATATAAATGCAGTCAAACCAGGTTCTATACTGATGGTTACACAATTTAAATTTTTGAAAGAGAAGTCTCTGAAAACTAGAAATTGGCCTAATATTGGCCAATTTTACAAATGTTGGCCAATTTCTCTTGGCCTCATGATACAAATATTAATATTGTGTTGATAGCCGAATATTGGTTGTTGTACAACTGAAAATACTGATGTAACGCAATATAATATTGTTTGGCTTTTGCATGTTCCAAATTCAAAAAGTTAACATGAAATGTAAATAACAGCTTTATCCCATATATTGTCCTCTACATCAGACATGTTAACAATCAGGCTTGCCACTAGAACAAGGCAATTGCTATATCCATGCACTACCTCAGACAAAATAAAAGCAAGTATGTCTTCAGGGGGCATTGCATATTTGGACAACCAAGTAAATAGACCGGTAAAAAAGTCATTCAGTCTGACTTGATTTTATTTTGTTTGGTGTTTGATTCAATTATTTTGATATTGAAATTGCTCCAGCCCACAAGTGACAGGTCCAAATTGAAACGGGGAAATCTCGTAAGTTTTGTTTTTGTTTTTTTTTAATAAATTTTATTATAGTGAGTCATATCACTTTTAATACAAATTAAACTTAAAATTTTAAATGTTCAGGTCATCAGCCTTTACCAGCTTGTACTGAAAGTGATACACAATTTTACTAGACTTTATACTGGTTGCATAATTCTCATATTTTGTTATTGAAATCCTTAAAGCTTTGATTGGACTGTTCCATATTCAAATATTGGCAAATCCATTACACAAATTCAGCAGGTTAAGGGTTAATGACCCATTTCAGTTGAAGATGTTATGGGGGTGGGGGGGGGGGGGCTAAGTGCATTTTTGTACAAAGGCAGAGAAGAAGGAAATATGGTTAATTTGTAAATACTGTTATTTGTTGTATTAATTATAAGAGACATTGGAAACTTGTAATGGAACTACAGCTGTTGATGAATCAGGTATGATGAAGTCTACAGTTGATCTCAAAAGCACATTTGATTACAAATTTAAATTCAATTTTTGATATATCAATTCATACAGACATTGATTTACACTATGAAATTTAAACCTCTTGTTACCTTTGTAGGAACATTATTGCATAGCATTAATAATTTTAATAGCAATAAAATGAAAAAGGATTTAATTTTTTTGTATCACATCAGCTTTGAGGAAAATATCTATATAAAAATGTGTGTATTCAATATCCATGCAAAACTTTGCAGAATTTATAAAAAAAAGGGAAAAAACGTAGCTAAATTTACAATTTTTATCATCATTTATTTTACTGGTAACTATTTTTGCATATTTTGTCATATTTAAAGCTAATTTTGAGGATATTAAGTGCCTTATACTTGATTAAATCACTTGAAATTTACTGTTTTCAATATCTATCTATTCACACATTGAAGCTTTATCAATCTGAAACACACTTTTTTATAACACTTACTTTAAATTTCTTAAAAGTTAACCAAGAAAAAAAAGTAGATATTTTTTTAAAAGCCTTTGAAGCTTCCTACTCAATCTTTAAAATTTATTTTCTATGTAATTTATTAGGTAAATGAAAGATGATGTATTGTTAGTTTCTTGAGCCAAATTTCTTGAAAGTTAAACAAGAAAAAGGGAGAGTATTTTTAATAAACCGTGGAAACTTCCTACACAATCTTTAAAATTTATTTTATGTTATTTATTATGTAAATAAAAAGATTATGTAGATCTATTGTTTAAAATAAACTAAAAATGGATTTTAATGTTATATTTTTATGGAAATAAATTATTTCTGTTAATTTACATGCTTGTAGAACTTGAAAGTCATTAACAAGTTGACATGGTAAAACTGTGTGTTACCATTGTTGTTGACAGTTTTTTTATGTTGATCATGTAAATAATTCACAATATTCATATTCAGTTGAATTAAATTGACTGCCAGTTTGTCATTTTCACATTTTTTGTTGAAACAGTAAGTTTATTTATCTCGGCACTAATGAAACATAAATGATGATATGGCAGTTAATTTGAGTGTGCTTTGTGCATCTATTGTTTTTAATGAGAAAGTTTGTTGTTTATGCTGTTGTTGTTGTTGATATTAATTTTGTAAATCCATAGTTTATGTCATATTAAACTGACAAGAACTGTTCACTGTTTTTCACTTATTCTTATTGCCTGGTAGTAGTACGGGACCACCTGCAACTATCTATATTATCAGCTATATAAACCCTTGCCAGATAAACTTATACATGTATATCTCCAGTTATTACGTCACATATGGTTAGATTATGATGACATTAAATGGTTAGCAGCAAAACAAAACTACATATAGATGCTGATTTATCGGGGAAAAAGTAAGAATGAAACATTTAAATAATCTAAAAACATGATTAAACTAGACAAAAGCAGGATAAATCAAATACATGGTTGTTGGCAGGATGGAACTGGTTTATCCAGTAAACGAGAAAGTGTATCTTGGCGAACTTAAGCCAGGTCTGTACAGATATGTACAATATTCTGTGGGTCTCTGTCAACATTTAGGGGTCTGAGACCTGTTATCATGCTGCTGGGAACTGAATCCATCCATGTGGCCAGTGAAGATTAATATCAGTCGGCATATCACAGTGTACTATATTCGCTTTTCAGTCCAAACATATTCTAAAATTTTCCTGAAAATTATGAATGGTTCAGTCCATATTGAAAGATGGTGACCCTGGATGGACAAGTCCATTTAAGATACTTAGCATAGATGTAGTAACTTAGTTAAAGCTCTAAGCCAATGCCAATTGTTCTCTTGTAGTTGTACCAATTAGAAATTTGAAGATAAGTTTCAGTACAGAGTTACAGAGAAAAATCATTAATTTTTTGTATGAGCTTTAAGTCTCAGAGGCCTGCATATATAAACATTTATTTGTTTGTTTTATGCTGAAATATCAATAAGCTGATATTTCTATTTCTTTTCATGTTTCTGTTGTAAAATTGTTGAAAAAAGTGATATCTACATGTTGCAAACAGCCCACAAAACAATGTTGCAGTTTTTATTTTGTTGAGAACATTTAGAGGTGTTATCCAGATAAACCACTAAAATTGGTTGCGTGAGACCTATCGTAAGAACGACACGTATGTAAATATTTCCCATGATTCCGTGTTTGTTTACATGGATACGTCAACGACTACCATGAGAATGTAGTTAACTTGGGTTTATTTACATTTAAATAACAAGTAGTCTTTTATAAACTCATACAAACCAACTTAAATTAAATAGATTAGTACTAAAACTGTCAAAATGTCGGATTTTAAAGAAGTTAAATATCAACCAAGACAAGACTGGAATCAAACATCAACCGGGGTTGGTCATCATTACAGGCCTGGATATTATTTCCCAAGTTCACATTTCCATGTACGTATGCTTTTAACTATTGTGAATAAACAAATATGTCGATTCGTCTTTTTATAACTTCAACAAATATTTATGATTTTCGTCACTGCATGTAGATCTATGCATTGTCACTCTGTGTGTTATCTCAACAAATTGAATTTTATCAATCCTAAATTTATGTAGAAATTAATTCAAACTAAGATAGTGACGATGTTCCGCTCGTGCTGAAATGGTAAAATCTATATAAATATAGCTTAAGGTCTTTAGTGTACCTGTTTATATTCTATGACATGCCGCAAAAATGCGGCTTATGAAGTTTTGGAAGCCAGACCTTACATCAGTTAAATTGGTTAAACCGTACAACCCTAATTAATAAAGCTAGGTCCCAAGTGTCTATGTAATATGCTCTTAATTTTTATTCTTTTGTTTAATCTACAAAGCGGCATGGCCGAGTGGTTAACGTGTCAGGCTAGTAATCTAAGGATTGCTGACAATGTGGGTTTAAACCCTGTCAAGGGGCAAGCCCTTGTTTTCTTGAGCAAGAAACTTTACATTCATTGCTTAGTACTGGTTGGTTCCAGGATCGGATTCGAGAGTGTTTCAATAAGCATAAAGCTTCCAACACAATCAAACTAAAAACAATTTGTATAAACTAATCTACAAATTTTAAAACTCTTAAAATGTCAGAACAATTTTTGTATATGATTTTTAGTGAGAATGATAGATCTACCATTATAATGCTGTAGCAAACTTTGTACATATGTATATTTTTTTCATATAGACTTGAATTTCTAAAAAATTTTACATCTGGTTGAACTTATAAATATAGCAGATCATTTTGCTTACTAGTGTTTAAATTATCTTTTTTATTCACTTTTGTCATTTAATATGTCATAGTTTCTTATTGTTACAAAATCTTTTGTTAAAATTTTGTGTTTGCTTATCATAATAATTATGATCTTGAGTCATTAGCACCTGCTAAATTTGATTTCTTATGATCCTAATGTTTCATTATAATCCTGTTTTAAACCGAAATAAACATCTTTTTTAGCCATCTATAGGAGAGCCAGTTCCTCCCCCACTAGCCCATCAAGATCAAGTCACGAGAGATCAACACTTTGAAACAACGACAGGGAAAGCTCATGACAGAAAATACCCTGCAACATTATACTCAAATCCTGTTCATCAAAAGGCACCTGGTCATTGGAAAGTTGATTATGTTAAAGACTTAGCAGAAAAGGTATATTTCTGTAAATGTTATGTAAAGCTGCCAACAATGTTAACAGTTTAATGTCAGGCCACCTACACTTGCTTTCAGGCTAACCTGACTTTATAATGTTGGCTACTTCATCAATTGATGTTGATTGCAATCTTTGAAACTGGCTCTTACCATGTTTGTAACCTTGCCACCCATATAGAGTCATGCCAGCCTGCACATCTGTGCCGTCTGGCCAGGCTCTATACTGTATAATAAGGTCACTTTTCATATTAATAAAATCTCTTTAACTTTGAATGGACTATTTCAAATTCAAAGCTGTTCAAATTTTTTACTGGATTTCTGTAGGTTTAGGGTTGAAATAATAATGAATTGTCCTAAATTTAATCCATAAGAAATATGTTAGAAAAAATTTGTACAAGATTAAAAAATTGATGCTCAAGCTACATAATTATATATTTTATACTTATTAGCTTCTAAAAGTATAGAAATAAAAATAATTTGTCAACTTTGATGTTTTAGACAAGTATTATGAATCTGAACTTAATGTTACTAAATTTTAACATACAGTAAATTTGTGAATTATTGTTGAAACTGAAGCATTATTTATGTGTATTAAGAATTTCCTATAGTAATTTACCTACCAAGTACATTGTATGAATTAAATAAATTTATTTATGTCAGTAATACATATCAATAGTATATAAATATTGATAATTTTTGTAAACAGTTGTCAAAGGGAGGATGGAGGCGACCACTTACAATGGGAAATCAGACATCAGAAACTCGTGAAAAATTCTGTAGCGAACCTGGTGTAAGACAAAAGTATCATTTTGATGACACTGCTGGACTTGGTTTACCTCAAAACTTTAATCTTCATGATCACCATGTAGAAGGTCCAAGCAAGGTACATTGTTTGTTCAACTATGTATAAGATTTCTTAGTCTCTACAATTATTATACTCTGTCAATTCATGGATCTTAAAATTGTGCCTTTATATAAGTAACCAATTATTTGGTATATAAGATAAATCATTTCACAGTTCAGAAAGGTGATATATTAGGTAGGTGGGCAGATTTTAAATGATAAATTTTTTTTGATGTACACTAACTGCAAAGATAACTGTAAAAAAATCAAAGAGAAGTATAACTATGACATCGTCATATAGACTGTCTACTCTCTTTGTTTTATGCAAACGGTAACATTTAAAGTACATTAGAAATATGAAGTATTTTGTATTAATTAAAGAATTAATCACTTCTTTTTGAAAGATTGATATTGATCTTGAGAATTTCAAGTTGTTAAATATAGTTTAACAAACATTTACGCCACTAAAGCAATTCACAAAATTTGCATACATCTTTAAAGTAAGGTAATATTTATTATTTCTTGTAGCTTGGCCAGGCAACAACACAAAACCCCAAATTACAAGGAAAACAATTCTATGTGCGTGACCGAGGAGTCCTGAACTTACTAGATCCCTACCTTACCACGACACACAAGGATCACAGAGCTTTCAAACCAGATGAGTTGAAGAAATACCCAAAGAAAGATGCAGCTACATACTGGCAGTGTGAAGACTATCCCAAGGCCTGGGGTCATGGGCTCAAAGCAAAGTAAGTACATGTACATGCAAAAAATTATCTACCATAAGACACAAGATTATGGGCTCAAGACATAATGATCTATCTATAGTTAGCATAAATTCATGACCTCTGAAGGGTTAAAGGCAATCCTAAGGCACAAGGTCATTGGCTCATTCAGGCACAATAAGGTCACGCTTAAAAGCATGGAGTCATGGTCTCAAGGCTAATAAGTTATCTACACTAAGATATCAGGTCCTGGTCTTGAGTCATTATCAAGTTTTAGGATGAAAAAGGTTTTTTAAATTAAAAAATGTTTTATTATGCAATGTTGCTTGTGTAATAATCATATAATTATATATACAAACAATTTTGCATCTTTTTATATTACAATTAGTTTATTTTGATATAAAATATCTAGATATTGTTAACATAGCCATGCTTAATGATGTCAGACATTATCTAAGTTGCATTTATTGTATTAATTTCATAAAGACTGAATAAGCAAACCTAGGAAAGGTTCAAAAAGACTGAATAAACAAATCTAGGAAAGGTTAATACACCAAGCTTCATAGAGCAATTAACCTATGTACTGTATACATACAAATCCTCCATTATTTTATGCCTCAAAGATTTTAATGTTTTCTGTTGAAATTTCGTGCAATTTCAAGGGACCTGTGAGTGTGAGATGTGTTTAGATAAATAATGTTACTTGTTTCAATAAGAAAATAAAATAAGCATACAAATGTATTGCAGCTAATCTATTTGCTTTTTTATCGTCTTCTTCAGCCCATTGCCTAAAACTTCAGTACCTAGAGAGCAGCTACCTATGAGAGATACTACATTTTTCACCACAAAAACTAAAGTTCCAAGACCACCAAAGGCAATGGTTCCTGTCCCCCACTCTGGTCTCAAATCCGAGCATGCTGACCGATATACACGACCTAATGATGTCAGATTTAAGGAGGCTATTTATTGTCCAGTTGACCCTCCATTTACTTTGCCTGGTGAGTAGTTGTTAATTAATTTGCTTATCTATATTTCAGGCCCGTAGGCCTCAAACTGGCTGTTAAGATCAATTGTTTTCATATGAAATGAATCATTTTGTGTAGAAAAAGTTTTGACTGATAATCAAATCATTTTACTATATTACTAAATTCAAAAGCAACTTTATGTCTTGGTTACACTTTTAAATTTTAAAGTTGTAATTAGGTTAGATTATCCATCATAGTTTTTAGAATGTTATTTATAATGAAAATATTCCTGTCTTGGCATCCTTTATAAGAGCTCCACTGAGATCCAAAACTTCAAAATCATAGGTCTTAAAAATTCTTACATAGATCAACTGGGGCACTTAAAATAGAAAAATATGCAAAGGATTAGAAAGGAAGTTACTCAGAATTCAATTAAGTCAGTTTTTAGTGCAATTCTTAGCCCAATTAGGAGTTATAAAGATTAAAATGCTTTCCAGTTTTTGGTAATTTTCAACAATAAAAAAGGATTATTCCAGATAATCGCATTGAGTGATTGATCTGAATTTTACAAGTAATAGGTTGGGACCTCTATCAAATCATTCAAATGGTACACAAATCTAAAAAAAATATTCTAGTTCAGTCATGTCAAAACACCTCAGTGAAGTTTCTATAAATTTTAACAGAAAATTTCCTTTTCCTACCTAAGTACTTATATTGCATTTAAATTCCAAAAAAAAACTTTGTTGTAACAAAATCTTTTCCATCTTGTTTCAGTACCCGGAACAAAATCTGCTATGACAGCCCCTAAAATGTACAACACCGAATACCAGCACGTAGGATCGGAAAAACCTATTATGGTGTAAATTCTAAATTTAGAGTACCAAAGAAACAAGACTTTTATAAAAAAAATACCATTTTTAATTTTCATAAAGCTTAAAATTGTCAGAATAAAAGTATTAAAAGTTTAAAAATGAAAACAGGAAAATATTTCTAAAGGTTTTATCTTGTTTATGTATTTATATTTTATACATAACTTTATCTTTCTATTGGATTTATTAAGTATATGAAATATTATTGTTTCAATCAAATTTTAGATAATCATTTAGTTTTGTGGTTTTATACATATATTTATACAGTTCAGTAAGTTTACACTTTTTACTTTCCTTTGACTATGAATTATTTACTTTGTATTCAGAGTTAAATAGTGCAATGATGGAAATGGTTATGAAAAAAAAAACAACATATGCATCAATTTATTGCATATTTTTTATGCTACAACATATACATTTATTTAACAACCGTTTTATTCCATGAAAAATGTTGGAATTGAATATTTTTACTATCATTTTAGAGGTTAAGGATTTGTATTGTTAAAGATGGGGGAAAAAAAGACTTTTAATTACACACGTGCATATCTGTTCTATTTTTATCATATTTGTCATGTCATTTGCTGAGGTCATAGGTCATATTTTAAATATTTTAACATGCATGCAATTGACCTTATTACACATGTTGTAAGATAATGTGGTTGAATGGGACGAGTTGTCTGTGATATTTTGTAGATAAAAAATACTTTCATCATTGTAGCTGTTAATGTAAATGTTAAATTGAATAATTTGTGTGAACGCTTAAAGCACCAAGTGGTCTTTTTATAACTTAATGTGAATGCTTTAGTTACTGATTGGTTTGGCTGGTTTTGTTTTCTTACCAGCATAAGTTTAAAGGGCTTACAGTCTGTTATCAGTAAAATATTTGTAAGTAATCTTATAACTTAACATTGAAATAATAATTTTTGTAAATTTCCTATAAATACAGCAGTAAATGTGAGAAATCATAGCTAAATCTCTGGTATTAAAAATGCAGTTGAGTACATTATTGTGTATTTGGGTAAAGAACCAAACAGTTTCCTGTCTTACCAAATATTTTTTGTGCATATATTTGTGAATTTTTCGCTAGATATGACCATAAAATATAAAAACAACATACATGTCATGATGTGTACAGTTTTGTTGTTGTTTTTTAGTATGTTTCACCAACTATATAGTTTAACAGCCTTGAAAGCAATGGACGTTTTTTTATGTCAAGAAAATAACTAGACTGTGCCAAAGTTTAGTTTTAGTTTCTTGGTATGATTATGTGAATATTTTTATTTTAAAAATGTCATTATAATTGCATGATCACATACAACACAAAATTTTCTTTTTTGTCAAGTGTATTTTAAAATATGCAAATAATTAAAAATAGTATTAGAAAATTATAACTATTGGAAGACAATATATTTAATATACAAATAAAATTTGGCAGACAACCAATGGAAAAGAAAACAAGATAGCAACCACTTCTGGTCAGTTGATATTTGTTAACGTTAGCAGCTGTCCAATATCATTTTTACAGCTGTCCGATAACATTTTTTCACAAGTGTCCGATATCACTTTTGCAAGTGACCAATAACAAACAAGTATTTTGAGGATTTTTTCTGTCCATTTCAGCATTTTTAGCATAGTATTACAGTAACCCACAGTATGAGTATTATTTCCCACAGTATGAGTATTTTTTGTATCTAGATGTACAAGCCGATGTATTAAGACAATATATTTACATCAGTATTTTTTTTAGCTTCCTTCTCTTTTCTTTTACATGCATTTCATTATTTTCATCATGTGTTTTGTTAATGATGTGAATATAATGAATAAAAATTTCAAATATTTTTTATTCGATTTTTATTTTTGTGACAGTGTACATGTAGATTTGAGAAAGAAGATATACAATCCAGGCTCTTTGTTCACAAATGGTAATCTGCTCAAAGTCATGGTAATAATTAATCACATAAAATGAACAAATTATGTCAGTTGTTCTCATTCTACAATGGATTTTATACTTTAATTAAAGTAGAACCACCACCAATCTTTGGTACGCTCACTGGAAAACTTTCAAAAATGAAAGTGTTTATCATTTCTTGTAGGAATCAAACCCACAACAGAGAGTAGGAAGTGACTGAAATTTAGCAAACATAACCACTGCGCTTCAAATAGCCCTTTTTCTAACTGAGGTAGTTTCATGACTTCACACATCAATGTAAAAGTAGTCTCCCCTGATAGTTAATACAATAGCGACAACTTCAGTACAAATATAGAAAATGATGTCATAAAAATTTATTATATATATTGTTATAAATAACCCATTCTAGACAAATTAATAACCCATTCTAGACAAATTATCATTTATACCCGCTTCAAGTTCACAAATTTTAACAAAATTACACCACAATATCACTATACGTAACATAACTCTTCTGAAATTATTTTATTAGCAATAAATATTCTTTCAGCTGAGTCACCTTTTAATAAATTGTTATAATTCTACTATAACCGTAAAACATCTGTCATTAAGAATTTCTTTTCCACTTAACTTACAGAAACATCATGTCTCATTTCAACCTTTTTTCTTAGAAATTGTGGAATGTTTTTGGCTGGGTTTTAAGACACGCTGACACGGTAAAGGTCATCTGGCGTCATTTTATCTTTATTGGTACAGGAAGACATAAAGTGCCCCTCTTTGCACAGTTCATGCTTGAGCAAGTACCTTCAAGCAGAAAGACCAACCTTCAATAAGCTAGCTGAATAGCTTCCTCATATGTAAGAATCCAAAGTTCTGGGTGGGATTCGAACCAAATCCATGAGTGATACAAAGTCATTGAGACTTCATCATTGAATGGCAACATCTATTTTTCAGGTTTCATAAAATTGTTGTGTCTAAGTGTGATCAACCAGTCTTCAAGGAACTTTTCAGTCTCTTCACTTCTTGAGTCAACTTGCTCCGACTTTGAAGCTATACTTTGCTCTAATCTGAAATATTAATTTATATTCTTGACTTTTAACCCTTTGATTACTAACATAGTGCCACATTTGTAAAGAAATGGGTATACCCATATAATGATAGGGAATTATCTATTTATTAATTTATATGGTATTTCTTATCATATTTGGTAGAGGTTTGAGAAAATCTTTACTATGTCCACCCTTTTCCAAAAGAGTACAGGTTTTGTATACATGTATTTTATACACATAAAGTGATTCATCAGTTCTCCTTTTTTGTGTGGTATCTCTATTAGTATTATTTAATTGGTGGACTTCTATTTCTCATACCATGTTTTACTAACTGTTCTATTGTTTTATTAAAAAAAATGTATTTATAGATAATTATGATTTTTGTTGGGTTTTTCATTGCACACACAGTATAATCTTAAGTTGCTGTCAGGATTTGAACCAATAGCGGAGAGGGGCAAGTGGTTTGAAGTACAAGAACTTAACCACTTGACCATGACACCTCATTTTTAGATATATTTTACCATGCTTTTGCATAATACAGCTGCCTATCTATCTAACTTACTCCTTGATAATTTTCCAAGCATCAGCTACAGGCACATGCCCTGCTCGAATAGTCATCAAAGTCTCTCGTTCAGTCGATTCCATTTCTCTGTACACTTTAAGGTCTGTTCCTTGTACAATATCCCTAGAAATAAACAGAAAAAAAGATTGTTATAATACCAGCAATTATTGCATTTTGTCAAAGCCCCTTTTTTTGAATTTTGTGAAACTTAACTTAATATAAATTTACATAATATAGAAATGTATATACAAAGTACCCCCTATAAATATAAATCCAAAATAATGGCAAACGTATTATGATAAGTTTATATAGTAAATTGCTGATGACACTAGACTTTGTGTAACAATAATCAATGTATTATCTGATGTCAAAAGAATCACGACTAAATAATGCTCATTTGTCACATTCCCGTGCCGCTTTGCGACTCCGTAAAAATGGTATTGCACGGCCGTACATATATTTTGACGTGACATCATTTGCCTTATACTATAGGCGCGTCAATGAAAAATTTTTTGGTATGCGATAAATAGAATGTTAAATTCTGTAACTTCATTACTAAATTTATTGAACTGTTCGCCAGAGGCTCACATAATATAATTTTATTCAACTCGTGCAATAAATTCAGTATTAAACATATCCTCTATAACTATACAAGAAATAACAATTTAATTAAGGTGAACAGGTGACTGGTGACTGGCGTTTGTGCAGGAAGTTGGCAAACATTTACAGAAAATTAAGGTGCAAAAAAGGTCATATGATAACTTTCCAGCTGTACTGAGGAAGAAAGATCTCAGGTGTACCTTAGTTCATTATTTCAGGCACGAACCAACACCCGTGTCGAACCACTGACATTCTGTAAGCTAGCTGGATAGCTTCCTCACATGAAAGAATTCAAAGTTCTCTATCGGGATTAGAACGTACAGCAGTGAGGAGCAAGTGCTTTCAAGTTAACGACCTTAACAACTCGGCCACGCATGTCCACGTATTGAACTTTCATTTTTGAAATTAAATATTTACAGAATATACGAGATTTCTGTGGGTCATATTTTCCGAAAATATGAAAATTTTCAATTTACAAAACATTATAACTTATAACATTTGCTTTTCTCAAAAGATATCAATTTAAAAACGGAATTGCAGATTGTTTGCACGAAACTTGCCACAGACATTTGGGGTTTGGAGCTCAAAACGCCTTTAAAATCCAAATAAAATGCATATTTGTCAATCCCAGGACATGTACTGATCATATATATCAAAAAATCTTAATATATGCCGTTTTGAAAAAAAATCATATTTCAACAACTATAATAATACACAAGATAAAAATGTTCGCCGGAAAAAATCCGCACCCCTACCGTCATAATCACCATGTATTTTATTCCATTTCCAATATTTTCACATAATCCTTTGGTCCATCGACACAGAAGATATAATTCTTCACGATGATGGTCAATTTTAAACTTCAACGGTAATATAAACAACGCAACAGCCGAAATAAACATCAATATTATCGCCGTTTTTTTCCAACGACAAAATCTTTCGATAAATTCAATGGACCAGACGGCTATGAACGAAGTTATCCGATTATGTGGCCCCAGCTTTGCCGTGTGCAAAATGCGCAGCGCTTTTAAGTTTGGGAACCACATAATCGGATAGCTTCGTTCATAGCCGAATGTCCCAAATGTCTGTGGAAACTTGCGTGCAAATTAATAACATGCGCGTTTTTCTTTGCCCGAGTCTTTTTTTTTTAATCTAAAAACAAAAACAAAACAACCTCAACAACAGGTATGTGCAAATTTATGAATAGAAAACGTAAATATCATGTAACTCATAAGTCATTACTGTGGAGCTTTACATTATGCACAAGATGCATACAAATTATGCGCAGTACACGGAAGTAAATTTATAAAATTTGGCCGAGTAAAAAACTTAAAATAAATATTTCGTCTAAAGGAGAGAAATTAAAAGAATAGACGTTTGATGTAGTAATTTTATAATAATCTTATCATTAAATCATCGTCAAACTCGTAAAATGCCGTTCTAATTCGTCTGCAGTGTTTGGTAATTTATTGATGCAAGCAATTAGGGGAAGTCACTCTGAAGTTAAAATTACACAGTCTAGAAGATAGCTTGTTCGGGTCAAAAAAGAGAATGACAGTCCATTTTGTAAGAAATAAAAACAAAAATGGGCGATGAACATCTTCCCTCTACTATCAGAAAACTTACAGCATTGCGTGCGAGCACCAATTTTCGGGAAATAATTTCTTTGGAAACGTTGCCCACCCCTAAACCTGGAGATGGAGAGTTATTGGTGAGAAACAGGTAAATGAAATTTAATTTAGAACATTTTAAAAATTTCCAATTATCTAATAAACGGAGGCGTCCTGGAGCCAAATCTTAATGTTAGATATAGTCTAAATTTTTCGACTGCAAGACCGACCGATTTTACGTACGATCTGATATTACATGAGACCATCGTCTATACTGTAGTATAATAAAAAGCCCAAAAGGGCTAAATTAATAAAAACAATCTTAATTAGATATTTATTTCCCCTATTAAATAATTATAGAAGTTAGTCTAATTAGGTTTTTATAACTCCTAATTATGAGTGACAAAGTCTTAATTAGACTTTTATTTTTCCAAATTAGGTGTTATAAAGTCTCTTTAGGCCTTTATAACTCAGAATTAGGAGTTATAAACTTATTTTAGTCCTAATTAGTCTTTTATAACTCCTAATAAGGAGCAACAAAGTCATAATTAGGACTTTTTCTCCTAATTAGGCTTTTTTCTCTCCAAAGTAGACTATTTTAACCTCTCATTTGGAGGTATAAAGTCTGAACTAGGCATTATTCTCCTAATTAGGCATTTGAAACCATTGTTAGGATTTCCCAAGTCTAAATTATGCTTAATAAGAGTTCATAAAGTGCATATTAAGCTTTCATTTTTCCTAATTGGGAGTTTGTATGTCCTTACTTAACTAAAAATTTCAAATATGGCTCCCATCTCTTCTAATTAAGATTTTTAAAGATCCTGTCAAACATTTTTTCAATAGTTTTTTTTATCATAAACCTGATGCTCAAATGAAGATTTTTAATAAACTAGAGTGCCATGATGGCCCTGAAATTGCTCACCTGTATATAGGCCCCTGGACCAAGACCAATTTTAAACCAGGGGCTTTCATTTGAACAAACTTGGTAGACATCCATTAGAAGATGCTTCATGATAAATATCTAAGCTCTAGCTCTTTGGGGTTTTTATAAGAAGATTTTTAAGTTTTTACTATATACATATAGGAAAAAACAATGACCCCCCCCCCCCCGGGAGGGGCCAATTTTGACCCCAGGGCTTTTATTTAAACAAACTTGGTAGACACTCACTAGAAGATATTTCATGCTTAGTATCTAAACTCTAGCTCTTTGGGTTTTTTATAAGAAGATTTTTTAAGTTTTTTTAATACACATATAAGGAAAATCAATGACCCCTTGGGCGGGGCCAATTTTAACCCAAGGACCTTTATTTGAACAAACTTGGTAGACACCCATTAGAAGATGTTTCATGCTAAATATCTTACCTCTAGCTCTTTGGGGTTTTTAAAAGATGATTTAAGTTTTTACTATATACATGAAGGGAAAAACAATGATGCCCTGGGGCAGGGCCAATTTTTACCCCAGGGCTGTCATTTGAACAAACTTGGTAGACACTGACTAGATGATGTTTCATGCCAAATAATTAAGCTCTAGCTCGTTCGGTTTTCTAAAAGAAGATATTTTAAGTTTTTTTTTCTTTTGGTTGCCATGGCAACCAGAGTTCTGTTTGGAAATAAATTCTTTGTACATTTCTTAAAGTTGACTACCAAAGGAACATTCCTGTGAAGTTTGGATAAAATTGGCTTATTGGTTTATGAGATGTCATTTAAAGTAAAAGTGTACGGACGGACGCCGGATGAAAAGCGATCACAAAAGCTCACCATGTCATTCTGTGAGCTAAAACACTAATTACCCCCCTTTATTTACATAAAATGTTAAATTCAGTAATATCTTTATTTTTTATAAAGCCTAAGCCAGTTTTCTCAAATAGGTGTTACTAGGCCTTTATAACTTCTAAGTAAGAGTTAATTTTTATAGAACATTGAGTTTGGCACCATAACACCTCAATATCTATAATAGTCTATTTTTGTGTAATTTAGATCATGCCGGTCTGCTATCCCTGTTTTAATATTGCCTTCAAATTTGGATATGTTTGCCCGAATAGTACTTATATAGAGAACAGAACCACTGACCTGAATTACAAACCATTTAGGCTCATTAAAGCAGTTTTTCATTTATATTTCGATCAATATCTTAAAGTTTTAAATGTTTAAAATTATTACACCAGGTTTGTTGGCATAAATGCATCTGATATGATGTGGGCTGCAGGAAAATATGATCCCACATGTAAATATCCTCTGGACATCGGTTTTGAGGTGAGAGTTTCTATTTTATATTTCCTTTATCTCTTTACCCTGTTGAATTTTTTAAATGGATTTGACAAAACTGTCCAGTGTTAATTTTTTGTACCTCCAGACGTCAGCAAGTCAAGCCCAGATCTTCCCGCTTGCCTTCCTCTATACTAAGACTTCAAAAATAATGTCAAAGGCAACTGAAATTCTGTTCACAATGCTCAACACTGTTATAAGTATGGAAATACTGATAAAAAAAATTATGATCAACACATCAAAAGAAATAATAAACTTTATGCAGTATGTGTATATATTACATTAATATAGGCTGTAGCCGAGGTTGTGGAAGCTGGTCCAAATGCCATTTACAAACCAGGACAACCAGTTATGTACTTACAGTTTGGTGCCTTCTGTGACTACAAGGTGATGTAAAAGCCTTTTACACTTAAATTTGTGTAATATGTTAAATGTACTTGTCCATCATTCAATCTGGGCAAAACCATTCAACATTTTTAGGGAAAATTTTAAAATATGTAATAACTGAATAAAAAACAGTGCAGATCATGATCACACAGTAGAACCAACTGAACATAGCATGCATTGGTGGCATTGGTAGAAACAGTTGCTGTCAGCAGGTTACAGGTTAAATTTCTGTTCATTATAATTTGTAACATTTTCTTATTCAAATTTTCATTATGAAAATTATTATGTTTACCATTAATTTTCAGTTGTCAAGGAAAAAATTCTGTTAATATTCAATAAGACTGTTTTATTGAATATTTACTTCTCAGGTCATGTTTCATCATGAATGATCTACCAGTAATTTAAAATATAGATCAAACAAGCATGGCATGCAGTGTTCAAAAAAAAAGTCTCTGTTCAAAAGGGGCATAACTCCGAAAATATTTTTCCCCTTGTCTTACAACTGCACCTTGTCATGATAAAATATCCCAAGTATCATGTTAATAATTTTTAAAATAATTGAATAATGGGCTTCATTAAAGTTTTTGAATGAGGATTGATGCCGCAGCAGCTATCATTATAGCCCAACATTTTCTTAGAAATAGACAAGCTAAAAATGGTACATTAAACAACTTATTTCTAAACATTTCAGATTGTTAAAGCTAGTGTCTGTGTACCATTACCCGAGGTGAAAGCAGAGTATCTTTCTTTTATATTGAGTGGAAATACAGCGGCAATATCATTAGATAAGGTGAGTGTCAGAGATATGTAAAAATGTGCAGGTATAAATACTGCCAGCTACAAATCCAAGGACTTCTTCTTATCTTGACAGAGCTGTTTCAACAAACAAGAGCTGTCGGTAGGACAGCAACGCTCGACTATTCTTAGTGCTTGATAGTAAGAAAAAATGCTTGATACAATTACCTCCTCCTGTTTACAGGTTGGGGTAATGATGGTGAACAAGTGTGCAAAGTTTCAAAGCCATATGTCAATGGACTTTGAAAATATTTGAACTATTACAAAAACTTTAACGTAAATTCTAAGTCGAAAAAGGAGCATAATTCTGTCAAAATGCTTGACACAGTTACCTCCTCCTGTTTACAGGTTGGGGTCATGATGGTGAACAAGTGTTCAAAGTTTCAAAGCCATATGTCAATGGACTTTGAAAATATTTGAACTATTACAAAAACTTTAACGTAAATTCTAAGTCGAAAAAGGGGCATAATTCTGTCAAAATGCTTGATACAGTTACCTCCTCCTGTCTACAGGTTGGGGTCATGATGGTGAACAAGTGTGCCAAGTTTCAAAGCCATATGTCAATGGACTTTGAAAATATTTGAACTATTACAAAAACTTTAACGTAAATTCTAAGTCGAAAAAGGGGCATAATTCTGTCAAAATGCTTGATACAGTTACCTCCTCCTGTCTACAGGTTGGGGTCATGATGGTGAACAAGTGTGCAAAGTTTCAAAGCCATATGTCAATGGACTTTGAAAATATTTGAACTATTACAAAAACTTTAACGTAAATTCTAAGTCGAAAAAGGGGCATAATTCTGTCAAAATGCTTGATACAGTTACCTCCTCCTGTCTACAGGTTGGGGTCATGATGGTGAACAAGTGTGCCAAGTTTCAAAGCCATATGTCAATGGACTTTGAAAATATTTGAACTATTACAAAAACTTTAACATAAGTGGTTACGCCGACGCGGACACCAACGCCGACGCCGACGCTCGGGTGACTACAATAGCTCTACTTATTCTTATCGAATAGTCGAGCTAAAAATGCAGGTACAAAATGTATATATCATAACTGCTAGGTACAAATCCAGAGGCTACTTTGATCCAGTATTAAAATTTTACAAAATCATCTTTCTAATGGTATTTTGAACCAAAATTTTCTTAAATATCTGCATGGACATCTTTAAGAGAATCATTATCTGTGTATTGGATCAACAGTAGATGTTCCAAAAAGCACTGATATCACAATATCGGGTGACAGACCTTGTAAAAATTCAAAATACTTAAGAAGGTCCTTATTGACTGAAAGTCCCTTTTCAAAATGTTTATTATCCCCCGCCGATGGAATCGGGAGGGGGATATAGTTTTGGCCTTGTCCGTCCGTCCATCCGTCCGTCCGAATTTCGTTTCCGGACTAGTTCTCTGCAACTACTTGCTGGAATTCAACGAAACTTCATGGGAATCATCAATATCAAGAGGAGATGCGCATATCGTCGGCTTGTTCCGGTCAGACCCTTTAACTCAGAGTTATGGCCCTTGATTAGTTATGTAGTATGCATATAGTAAAAATTGTTTCCGCACTTCTCTGCAACTGCTGGCTAGAATTCAACGAAACTTTATGGGAGCCTTCAATACCAAGAGGAGATGCGCATATCGTCGGCTTGTTCCGGTCAGACACTTTAACTCAGAGTTATGGCCCTTGATTAGTTATGCAGTATGCATATGGAGTAAAAATCGTTTCCGCGCTACTTCTCTGCAAACTGGCTGGAATTCAATGAAACTTTATGGGAACCTTCAATACCAAGAGAAGATGCGCATATCATTGCCTTGTTGGGGTCAGACACTTTAACTCAGAGTTATGGCCCTTGATTAGTTATGCAGTATCCATATAGAAAAATATTTGTTTCCCTGCTACTTCTCTGCAACTACTGGCTGGAATTCAATGAAACTTTATTGGAACCTTCAATACCAAGAGGAGATGCGCATATTGTCTCCTTGTTCGGGTCAGACATTTTAACTTAGAGTTATGACCCTTGATAACTTAGGCAGTATACAACCAGAGCAATAATCATTTCCGTGCTACTTCTCTGTCACTACTGGCTGGAATTCAATGAAACTTTATGGGATACTAAGAGGAGATGTGCATATAGTCGCATTGTTCCGGTCAGATACTTATAACTCAGATTTATGGCCCTTGATTAGTTATGCAGTATGCATACATCTCATTGGCATTTCCAGATATTACTATTTAACACAAAGTTATGGCTCTGTTATTGCCCTGAATATTTATCAAGTTCAAAGAATATTACTGTTTATGCCATGATTAATATATAAATAAGGCCTTATGTCTTCAGTTGTTGTGTTAATAATAACCAGTACTCGGCGGGGGATATAAATTCAACGAATTTGCTTGTAAAGGTAAATTGTGGCATATTTGGCCAAGTAGTTAACACATCAGAGTCTAAGGATTTGAAGGATTGCTTGGTTCAAGTCCTATCAGGTTAAAACAATATTGTTTCCTTAAGCAAGAAACTTTACACCTACTGCTAAGTTCTTTGTGTTCCTGGAATGCATTCCAGTGCCTATAAATTTTGGTTTCCTATAAAAACTAAAATAAAGTCTATGTAAACTTAAACACAATGTTTACATAAGATTCTTTGACAGACAATATCTCTTTTTTTTACATTTTTTATTACATTGTTAAATGCTAGTTATGTATGTAAAATGATTTATATTGTAAAGATTATCAAGAGTTATGGCCCTTTGTTAATCTCTGTATCATTGTAAATGTTTGTATACATGTAGGTTGGAGAAATCAAGTCAGGTGAAACAGTATTGGTAACTGCTGCTGCAGGAGGTACTGGCCAATTGGCTGTAAGTTTACTTGTATTTTTAAATTTCATTTAAACTGCCAAGTGTGTCAGGTACACAGCTGACTATCAGTGAATATAGACATGTATATATGTATAAAGTCCTTCATTATTTTATTATTACTTTTATTGTTATATATTCATGGTGCACAGCACTACCATTCACAAAAGCATGGTCAAACTCGTTCCACTTATTATCAACATACTGTAACTTTAAAGTACCCTAGGATTAGTTGGGAAAAACTAAAGTATACAACTATTTACCAATTTTGCAGAGTTATCTCTTCCCTTTCACATAATAGGCTCAATCTTTCTTTAGCAACACCTTCCAACAACAACCAAAATCTATATCTCCAAAAGGGTGTTGCTTTGCAGAGATAATGTAATGTATATATTTCAATACAATTTGTTTTAATTTTCAGGTTCAATGGGCCAAATTAAAGGGATGTCATGTGATAGGTACATGTTCTTCTGAAGATAAGATACAATTTTTAAAGGTACATATATTCTTTAAATAGATTTTATATACATGTACAGTATGTATTTATAAAAAGCTGATGATCATTGTTTGCCAGGTTGAAGGAAATTGTAAAAAATACGTTTTTAGATACATCAGTAGGAAGTCAACAGTTAATACGAAGACTGATTTACTGATTGATTGATTGATCGTCCATCATCATTTATCTATCTATCTGTCTGTCAAGTGGCTTTTAGTCTCTACCCCCCACCCCAAGCAATTGAGGGGCTTTTGGTTACAGGACTTTTGGTTGAGGGGCTTTTGTTGAGGGGCTTTTGTCCTGGTATCAAATACATGTATCACACTTGTCTATAGAGGTCTTGTCAGAAGACCTAGGTAACCTTGTATATTGGTATGACATTTGAAATATAAAAAGATTTTGTTATATAAACTGAAGCTAAACTTAAGCTGAACCTAATTAATGTGCATTTTGCTCTTTAGTCAATAGGCTGTGATAGACCAGTGAACTACAAGACAGAGAATCTTGGAGACGTTTTGAAAACCGAATATCCAGTAAGAATCAAGTTTTTCTTAACCTTTTACCCCATGCAAGCGACAAATTACTGAATTAGAAACAAAATTTAATTAAACTTACAATTTCAAATTTCCTTGAGAAATTGAGCTAAAAATGAGAACACCATATTGGAAAAGTAAGGGTTCCTATACCCGAAATAGTGATTCGATCTACTGCAGTAATTTTCTAAATATTTTTTCAGTAATTTTTTAAATATTTTTTTCAGAAAGGTGTAGATGTTGTTTTTGAAACCATGGGAGAACACATGCTTGATACCTGTATTGATAAGTAATTCTTTATTGGTTTTCCTTAATATAGAAATTAAATATCAGTCAAACACTCTCTATAAAGACCAACTGTAGTGTATAAGTTATAACTGTGGTCTTTGTTGAAAGGTTACATTTATTTTAAGATTGAAGTATATTAGTATTGCAAAAATTAAGATTTGAACTAAATTATAACTATCTGAAAGATACCTAAGCTTTCATTGTGATGAATTAATATAGCTCTAATCAAGCTAGAACTAAAAGTAATAAATCTGTTTACCACCAGTATAGAGCCAAGCCAGCTTGCAGTACCATGCAGTTTAACCTAGTGCTTAACTGATGTCAGACTTACATCAAATTTTCATTTTGATAGCCCAAAAAAAAATCAAACTTGGACAAGTCCATTAAGGAAATTCTTCAGGTTAAGGATTAGTCAGACTCGGGTTGATCTGTTTGAGATCTATGTAAAAGCATGGTACCAAATTCAACGCATGACGAGACATATACATGTATATTTTGAAATGTGAATATTTATTTTGTCATATGAAATATATATTTGGTTTTAAGTATGAGATACCCCTCTTTAATATCAATATTGATAAGGAGAGTCATTATTATACTCCGGCATCTTGATAATTGTCAGTTGATCAGTTTTAGGAATTTAAAGGAGTATGCCTCCTGATTATTGTTTTTTAAACTTGTTTATGAACTTAAATATAGGGTAATGCCTAAATATGGAAAAATAACACTGTCTTTATTTCAGCTTGGCTGAACGTGGAAGATTGATTATTATAGGTTATATTGAAAGATATGAGTCCGATAAAGGTTATGAACCATCTCATACAGTTGCTACGTTAACAGCCAGGGTAAATTCAATTAAGTTTAATTATTACATGTATTAGATCAGGTATATAGGGACAGGCAGGCCTGTAGATGAGCGGGCATTAACAATTTCTTCTATGCCCTACTCATACATTATTCAAGGGTGTTTGACATATATAACATCCCAGACATCAGGGACTGTAGGACTGTTCTAGAAATCAGGTGATTGTCATGGAGGCATCCTGGAGTTGATTTATGTTCCGATAAAACAGAATTCTAAAATAATTTCCGTTGTAGCAAGAGCTATGACATTTTTTTGCCATTATATAATCAAGTTAATATTAACTACTGTAGAATGCTGATAATGCAACAATTGTCCTCAATAGATGTTGTTCCAAATTCAGCAAATATGGGTTTAACCTAATCTGTTGGTACAAACTAACTTTTACCCTTATAGCTTCATGGTGCACTACCCATCATAATAGATTAATCCACCTGTTTCGCTTATTTTCTAAACTGTTACTGTAAAATTTTGTTTGTACCTACAGATAAGCTAGGGAAAAACCCAAATATTCTCAATTCCGGAGTAAGTCTATTAATTTTAGTTCATTAATTTTAGCTCTTAAAAATATCTGCAAGTGTGCGAGGATTCTATTTGAAGAATTTTGCTGAAGATTTTGTGTCCTATGTCACAAAACAGATACAGTATTACAAGGAAGGGAAACTGAAGAGCTTTGTTGACATGGGAGAGAAGGAATCAGCTGGGCTGTTTGTTGGTTTAGAGAAAATTGCAGATGCTGTTGAGGTAAGTGTACCAACTTTACATCCCAGTACTGGCCAATCTGCATTTAGATGTTTGTAGCATAGCCAAGGGACTTTGTCAAACTAATTCTTAACAAATCATGATGAACAAAATACAATTTTTAAGATATTTGTAAATAACTATAAAAACTGCCAAGTCCTTTCACATTGTTCCTTTTTTTTAGTAACATTCACACTAAATACTAGCCTTTTTCTACAAGATTCTATCATCAGAGACGTTTTACCAAACTCTGTTATTACTTGCACAGTTTAAGCTTTTTGATAAAGATATACCAAAAATCAACAATGCCATAATACGAGAAGTTGGTGCTGCATTTTTGAGAAGATGTAATGCCGATGTAACGTAAGTTGCGAATGAGCTGCGGCGATCAGCTTAACATGTATTTTTGAAAACTGTCATTTTGGATAAAATATACGGATTAATTATCTGAAACTTACACATCAAATTGATAAATGATTGAATAAATGTCAAATATAATTATATTAACTTTCCTTCCCCAAAAAAACAATTTATGGAGTGTGTCCACGAATATATTGATCAACCCTCGTACATGTACCACATAAACATTCTTTCTACAATTGAAACATTACAACAGTGTCTAAAATATTTGTTTTATATATGCATTTCAGTATTTGTATTCCAAGAAAAGTATCGGAAAGATTGTAGTGGATGTGAGTTCGAAACTCTAATGTATGGCAATGGACCATAAAATGGACAAAACTTCGGCTAAAACTGCCAGAACAACTTTCATCAAAGTCTGATTAACATACAGACATTAAAATTTTGTTATACATATACATTGTGTATTATGTCATTCAGGCATTCTTTTAACTATGTTTTCTTGTATATATGTTTACAAATAATGAAAGATTCATTAGGTAAGTGAGACACACATGTTATATTCATTGAATCCAATTAAAGCAGGAATGGATATACATGTTGAAACCTTAGTGCAGTAACAGGTTAAGTCCTTCTAAATTTGAAAGGAGTTAAGAGTTATTGCACTATGCCGGTGATAGAATTTAAATCATTTTATTAATTGTAATTTATGCATTATTATTCTGATATATTTGCCAATGTGAGATATATAATGTACATAGAGTATATATGAAAATACAGCAAATTATGTAAATGACTTTTAATTTGTTGCTTTAAAAAGGGTGTTTAATATTTTAAGCATGTTTTATTGAGACATCTTTAGCATATTTTAAATTATCAAGCATAATATTATTTATTGTTTGCAAACAACAATTTAACTTATAAATTATATATAACTAATAAATTTAACTTGGAACAGTCTTTCTTGTTTACGACTCAAAATTTAATGTTTGCTAAGACTTGCATATCTTTTAAGGTATGGAATTGTAAAAACTACAGTGAAGTACCAGGGACACTGTTATACTTCTACCAGGGACACTGTCATACTTCAGAAATACAGACAAGTTCACTATTAAGTTAGTATTAACATACATGTATGCTAAAATCTGCAATTTACAGGTGCCCATGCAGCCAATTCGAACAAGTAGTCTTTTAGTCACTCTAGCCCATGCAATTACTGTCAAATATAGAATATTACTTTATGTGTGATCTTTGCATTGTTTGTGTTTGTTTTAAGTCCACAATAACTTGAATGGCAATATGGCTGAGTGGTTAACATGCCAGACTAGTAATTTCAGGATTGCTGCAGCTGTATGGTTTCAAACCCATTCCAGGGCAAGCTGTTCTTTCCTCAAGCAGAAAACTTTACATGATTGCTAAATACTGGTTAGCTCCAGGGAGCAGATTTGATAGTGTCACTTTAAGCTTATAGCTTCCAATTAAAATAAAATAAATTCTGTATAAATTAAATAAATTCTGACAAACCTTGCATTTTGTAACAATCTGACAATTACATAAAGCATCTTGCACATCTTTGCAGGGAGTATTAGTTCCTCAGGGTGATCTTTACACCATTTCTGTAGAAATTTGGTTCCTTTACTGCCCTGTGCATCTCTTAGGTACTTGTCCAAACATTCCCTATTAATAAAATGAAGATTTTTAGTGACCTTGAATGACCTTAAAAATATTGTGACTTCTAGATGACCCCTAAAAAATTAATTAATAAAAAGTTGAAATAAAGTGTTTGCAATTCAATGGTCAGTAAAATAAGGTAGATCAAAACAGTAAAGTTTGCTTGATTGTAATGTCTCACATAATAGTCTTTCTTTGATCTTTTTTTGGGGGGTTTGGTGTAAGACATAGAAACACTGTAAATGCCATTTGGTAGCTTTCAAGCTTTACTGGTAGAAGACCTCCGGTTTCCCTCCATGTATCAAATGGTCTTTGAGTAAAATAATAAACCTTCAATATGCTATCTTACCAGCTTCCTCAAAAAGAAAGAGATCAGTCCAAAACAGGATTCAAACTGTAACCACTTGGCCATATTGGTCCCTCCAGAATTGTAGGTAACCATCAGCCTCTGGGATATCTGCCGTAACTGAGGAAAACTTACCTGTAACTGCCCTGCCTGTTTTTCAACTCTTGTCAATACTGAACTACTGTAGATTAAACCACACAGCATACGAGGACACTTGGCAGTAACTTAAAATAACTTTATGCCCAGCTGCTGAATAAGTTGCAGGAAACTCAGCTTATTATGAAATCAAGGTGACTGCTGGATTTACATTGTTATATCCAGATATTGTTATAAGAGGTACATGTATATTGTAATGAGTGTAGTTTACTGTGACTCAGAATAGTTTCTTGATTTAGATTTATGAACACAAGTAGCATTTTCACTCAGAAGTAACTATGGACAGCTTACCTATTTAGAAACATATTCCTGCCCTGTGATAGCTTTTCCCACTCTGGTGAAGACTGTACTATAGTAGATTCATGCAGAAATAAACACTCTACACATCTTGCATCACCACTCAACAGTAACTCGCAATATCTGTACACTTCATGTATAGTGTAGTCACATGCCTCACTTTCATGATTCTACAAATATTTAAAACTCATTGTATGCATAAAATTAAAAACAGAAGTCTGAAAATGACTTAATGTTCAAGATATCCATATTTTATCATTAATTTAAAGTCATTAGCATATTTTCCATGAAATTCTCACAAATGCTGAAATCAGTTCTGGTTTGTTCAACGAAATCAGATTGCAAAATGATTAAGCTAAGTAAAAAGAACATGCTTTAAAATCAAACTAAAATATCTTGGAACTATTTATTACAATGAATATTACTGTTCCTAGTAACTTATATTTTATATATTACATAAACAAAATCAGTACAGAGAATGACATATACTTTGATGGTCTGTTTAGGTGGATTGAAGCCAAGAATGTCTCTGGTCCTTGCTTGATACACAATAAACATATCTGTATCACTATCAGCAGTTTGAAGATTGTATCTGTAAAATAGATAACAACAATTACTAAAAATGGTCTTCATGAAAATGGTAAATATTATAATGTACATATATTTATTAATAGAAATGAAACTGTGCATTTAACTTTACTGAAACAAGATATGTTTGTAAAACATGTATGCCCCCTATCGGTAGCCAATTAGTCATTTGGTCAAGTTATTGTGACTGACTTTTGACCTAGTGACCAAAAAATCAATAGGGGTTATCTACTGGTCATGACTAGTCACTAGGTAATTGTGACCGTAAAGGTTGTGTGCAGCAATTTTATGACAAAGTTACCACAAATCTTACCAAACAATATATGCATAAATTTTAAGAATCATGTAGGCCTCCTTAATGACAGCCAATTCGTTATATTACATTAAAACGTGAAATGTGTATGCCAAAAGCATTTTTAGTTTAATAAAAAATATCAACCAAGGCAACTTGAGTTGTTGAGTTATTGGTCAGAAACCATTTTTACGTACAAGGTCAATGTGACTTTGACCCTTAAATAAATAGGGGTTATCTACTGATTAAGACCAACACATCTGTGAAGTTAGAAGGTAAAGGGTCAATGAGTTGTTGAGATATTGATCAGAAAGCATTTTTACCTATATAGTCAATATGATCTTGACCTCAAAAATCCATTGAGGTCATATTCTGACCAAAAACAATGCATCTGTGAAGTTTGAAGGTCAAGGGTCTATGGGTTGTCCAGTTATTGATAGGAAACTGCTTTGACATACAATGTCAATGTGACCTTAACTTTTGACCCCCTGACCCCAAAATCAATAGGGGTCATCTACTGGCAAAGACAAATGCACCTATTTGAGGGCCAAGGGCCAATGGCTTATTAGGTCATTGATCAGAAACTGTTTTTACCTACAAAGTCAATATGACCTTAACCTTTGACCCATTGACCCTTTATCAATTAAGGTCATCTACTTGCCAAGACCAATCCACCTACGAAGTTTGAGGGCCAACAGCCCATGGGTTGTCATAAGTTATTGCTTGGAAACTGTTTTTACCTACTTGGTCAATATGAACTTGAACTTTGACTCCTTGATTTCAAATTAAATAGGGGTCATCTGCTTTCAAAGGTCAATGCACCTACGAAGTTTGAGGGCCATCAGCCTATGGCTTTTTAATTTATTGATCGAAACTGTTTTTACCAACAAGGTCCATATGACCTTGACCTTTGACCCCAAAATCAATAGTGGTCATCTACTGGTCTTGAACAATTCTCATACCAAGTTTGAAGTTCCTAGGCCTAAGCGTTCTTAAGTTATTGATCAGAAACCATTAATTTTGGTCTATGGAGCGACGGACGGACCGACTGACAGACAAATGCAAAGCAGTTTACCCCCACTTCATTGAATGGGGCATAAAGGGCATAAAAAAATATTTACATAGAAATAAAAAATGATGATGACAAGGGGATTACCTTTCATAAACCCACAATTCCTGAGTTCCAGTTACCAACTATTGTTTAACTTATTGTTTTATTTTAAAAGCATTTAACTTTTGTAGACAAAGCCTTCATACCTTTGACTACCAAATGGACAAGCCAATAAAACTTTGCCGAGGTCTCGTTCTACCTGGGTTACTATTTTCATCCATGTTTCCTGCACTGTCAAAATCTTAGTCTCCTTATAAAATGGTTCTACGTGAAGTTCAGCCTCTCTCTTTTTTTTCTCATCACGTTTCTTACACAAATCATTGTACAGGTCTTTCATTTTGCGACACAGGCTCTCTCCTACTTCAATACTTACTTCCTGCCAATTTCTACATTTGTTTACGCAGATTGTGTTTCCTCCAGGGTTTTCAATACACTTTAATTCTTCAGTCATCTTTGAATTCAAGCATAGTTCTCCAAATTCCAAGTAGTTCAATCTCCAATCAATATCAAAGTAATAAAATTCTGGCAATTTTTTCACAGAATTGCTGTCTTCACAGTTTAGAGGACTGGGATCTGTGTTTGTAAAACTGTTAGCCACTGTCAGACAACTTTCTTTACTATCAGATAAAGATTTATTTTGGGAATCTTTAATTGTTTTCACATCTTTATGATTTTGCGATATTTTAACATTCTCTTCAGTTCTTTTAGCTGCCTCACCAGGAATATTTAACATTTTTGCGTAGCCATGCCAACCATGGCAATTGCTTACGCTGAAAATTAAGTAAACTTTTCCTTGTGAAAGTGCTTGTGTCAAGATTTCCCTGGGATGAGGCGATGTTGCTCTGTCTGCACATGCCCACTGGCCAGACTGTACAGCTTGTTTTAATGAAGGAAAACTATTCACCTTTGCAATAAAGTACCTACTCTTCACCTTCTGTTCCGCCATTATTTACTACAAAGCAAAATTATAAATGCTTTTCAAACAATATTTATTCCAATTACAAAAGGTGGGTTTCATTATTGGAATATTTTGGCATACAATGTATGTAATTCTATCAAATTCTTGAATGTAGTAGGAATACAGAAGAAACATAAAAATACCACCAACACTTGTGGGTCAGACCGTATCCCACAGCTTGATCAGTGCCAAATTCTGCAATCTTTACTTTTTTGAGACTTGATGGTAAATGGGATGTTTTTTTAATGTTGCGGAAATGGTTTAAAAACAAGCTTAATAAATGAGACTAAGCCCCATTTGTGTTAACATTTAAAGTTTTTATTGACCATTCACAGCGGTGGGTCTAGTAACGGATAGTGTATGACTCCCAAGTGTCTGTGGGAAATACATGTAAATCAACTAGTCAATTAGGTCAGGGTCTTTCAAATAGAACTCTATTTGAAAGACCTTAATTTGGTATATATATAAATGTTCATAGACTGTTTAGAAACCAGTTGTCCATAATTCAAGGGTCGCATTAAAAATACAAAACGGTTAAATGAATGAAACATTATAAATACCTTTGAAAATTGAGCACGGCTAATTGAGTGGTGAAATTAACCTGAAAGTTGTGAAGACTAAAGTACCAAATTGTAAGTGGCTATATTTCCGGATAGATCATCAGTTAATTAACTATCAATTACAATAAATGTTTAAATAATGGGCAAATAAATAAACTTAAAGTAAAATGAATGGTCTGAATGACTTAACCACAAACCTGATCCTACATAGACGACAAACAATATCAGGAAGCCATTCAATTCGGCTTTATGTTGCACAATATCGACGAAATACTCTCTTGTCAAATTTTACCGTAAAATCTCCAAATTGAAGAGTCATCATCTCACCTGTTCGTTTCCGGTGGCTTTGCGCATGCGTGTAGGTGATTGGCAACGCTGTAAACATTTTTATTGACTTTATTTTTACTTGGTTTGTACCACGTGACTCTCAGGCTTATACATGTTTTATTAGTTTTCATGGTATAATATCATGCTGTTTATTCCATTTAATCAATACAACTCGTTCTGCTAAATTGACTTTTGACTTGCATGTATAAGAAATAACCTCACAGGTGTTACCCAATTAAGGAATTGTTTCCAATTTAAAACAACAAAATAGTGGATTATAACATGGAATTGTTTTAGTTTTAATAATTAAGCAGGTTTGTAAAATTGTATTGACTATGTTTTCATTGACTTTCAGAACCACACATGAATGTTCAGATTACATGCATGGTTGATACATGTAGTAATTAATATTTAATTAAATACATGTACATCATTACAAGATTAAGATGTTTACAAAAAATAAAAAAAGTTTGAGAAATCAAAGTTAATTATTGAAGTATATCAAAATGTTTCAGTTTTGTTTACAAACAGATATACAATGAAGTTAAGGTAACAAGACATACAATAATCATCGGATGTCTCTCGTGGGAAAACCCACAACATACTGCATACAATATGTAACTAAATTTCAATTGTTAAGATTGGATTATTATGTTCATTAACATACATGACCATAGTAAATACATTGTATAATTGATAATTGATCAAAATTTTGAAACTTTTTTTAGTTGATATGGACAGAAGAGTTTAATTAATCCAATTTGACTTACAGAATACTTACAGAACCTCAGAATACTGTACCACGACTCTACTGACTGTGCTATCTTACACATTTCCTTCTCCTATTTGTCAGTTCAGTATTAGGACATACTGTCCCACTATGTTGAAAGTGTCCTAGTACAGAGAACAATGTGAACAATCACATTACAATGCATGGCTAAAGTTTAAGTGTCTGTTTTAAAATCAAAGGATTGCTTGCCGTCTAAGCGAAGGTGTTGTTAAGTCGTTGAGCAAAAGAAATCTTACCCTTGTTAACATTTCAGTATTGGTTGATACCAGGAACAGACTTGAAAATGTGTCTATAGTCTTATATAGCTTCCTAAAAGATTGAATTAAAATAATTAAGCTCAAGAATCAATTGATGTTAACTTAGGTTAGAATTTTGTGTGGGCGTAAAGAAGCGATACTCAAAAGTATATAGAGAGAAAAGAAAGGATTACTTGTCCAGTAATAGCATCATATACAAGTCATATTATGATAAACTTAAAAAGTGAAAAACTTTATGTTTTTAATTAAGTTGTGAAGAACTTTTTTATTTTTTGACTTACTTAATTTTGTGTACTTTCTGTTTTAAAATTTTGTTTGATGCACTTGCAATTAAGATCATTGTCAGTATGATCCACTGTATCTGTACAGATAATTTTGTGTTATACAAGAAAATAAGAAACAGATCACTGATACTTTTATATTCCAGACAGGTTAAAAAAAGATACCAAGATGTGGCAGCCCAATATGAACAGCGAGGCTGTCAAAAGGTGTATGGATATTCCCAATCTACCAATGTCCAGTCAGGTAGCCAGACCAGTACCTCCACAAAAACCTTTACAACCAAAACCACCATATGCCTATGATGGCCATCACAATGCTGCAAAACCAGCCAGACCATATTCAGGTGTGCATAAGTACTTTCGTTGCTTACTTTTTGGACATTATATACACTTAAGTTGCTTACTTTTTGACATAACTTAATTTTTCAATCCTTTCACAGGGCCTTTTTGCCTTCTTTTATTAAGTTTAAGGGTGGCTTTCTCAAAAAAAATTCTTTAAAATCATGCAGTTTTCCCCAAAAATTGTATTGATGTTAAGTTTTTTCTTCCCCTTTTGCAAAAAAACTGTATAATTTCCCCCAAATTTAGGGTGGGACAGCTTCCCCAACATGTGAAAAAATCCCTTTCCAGTGAAATAATAACTTCTGAAATCAAGTTATTTTACAGGTATTTCATTTTATTGTGTGTACTTTTTAAAGAGTTAAATCTTTTTAGACATGTTATTCACATATAAATTATATGCGATTTATCTTACTTCATTTGTTGGCATTGATTAATTATTAAATGACTACTTTTTTAGCACCACAGAGAAGAATTACTGCTCCAGGATATTCAGAAGCATGGAGATCTTCAAATCATGCAGAAAATCGTGCACCACCTCGCTCCAGAAGCTACTATGTCAATAATGAATATCCTAAATCTCATCCATATGCTTGTAAGTTAATTCTGTCATTAAAAGTTCCCTTGGGAATAAGTGCTTTGTTATTGCTTCTAATTGCTGTCTAATTACACCATGTTGCCTGCTTCAGAAATTTCAGACTGATATTTGATCAAATCAAGTATGATAATTTTAAGTGCAATATTTCCTTGGATCAAAGAGCAAACAACATTATTTTTGTATGCATATAGTGAAATTAAGCTTAAGTTGGTAAATTCCTGAAGTAATGAATTTAGATCAGAAACAATAGGACATAAAATTACTTAAAAGTATTTATATGTTTATTTTGCTAGCAATTTAGTTGTTTTTATGAAATATCTTTTAGTGTTTTTGGATTTATTTTTTTCACCCTAATATATCTTTATTATCATTGTCTATAGAATATGAGGAATTGAGGATATGGGGTATATCTTTACCATACAGAGTTGTATAGTTACTAAATGTGATGTTTTTTCTATTAATAATTGTGATGTTTTTTCTATTTTTTTTTCATATAATTTACAGCTCGCCAGAGAGAAGGTTTTGTACGGAAGACACTCGGATATCCAGAAGTTCAAAGAGGTCCAAGCACCCCTTTGCCGCCATATGATCCCCTTGGTGACCCTCATCTCACAGAATATTTTGAGCGCAGATTTGGTGCTATTCAATCAGTCGCACGGGTATGTGATGATGATTTGCTTATAAAACAATAAAAAAAGAAATCAGCCGTGTGCACTATATTATAAATAATTTGTACAATCTTCATTTTGGTTTTCTGGGATTTTTAGTAATATGTTTTGCAAAAGCAGTAACAGGAACATTCAGACTTTTTATGCTTAGTAACATTCTTGCACCCATAATGTAGCCTTGCTGTGAAAAATACCGTAATAAAGTGAAATAATATTATTTAATTTCAGAGAAGAGGAGGTCGTCCCTCAAGTGCACCTAGCTCTAGACATACATACACTACTACAGGGAAGAAAATTAAGGCTGATGGTGGAGAAGGTCCCATACTGTATAAGGTGTTTGTGACAACAGCGGATAAAAAAGGAGCCAGTACTGATGCCAAGGTTTGTTTGATCATATTATTATGTTATGACATGTTTTTTATAACTATGAAGTTCACATATATATTATACAGTTACAGACTTATGTCGAGGTCTGTATATAGATTTTTAGACCTGAGAAAAGTTATATTGACCAAGGACAATAGTCAGATCAGGCAGATAAGGTCTGAAAAACTATATATTGACTGAAAAATAATACATGTACTATAATCATAATATAATAAACCACTGTTTATAACAGAGTATATGTTTATCTTTGAGAGAATATCACTCTGTAATAAAACCATTGGGTCTACACGTCTTTTTTGCAGACTCATGATGGCAACACTTATCAGCCACTCAGTCTGATTTCTAACAGAGTAAAGCTTTTATAAAGAGTATACAATATTCTAATTTATAAGAATGTATCAAATAAAATGTAAAGTTTCAAGTGTGAAAGGACACCTACCTTGATTATTATAAATACAGCATCTGGCAGCTGTTTTAAATAGCAAACATTTTGTTGTCTTAGTGGTGTAGAGCAATGTGCTTATATTTATTTGTGTACTAGAGGTTATGAGTTCAAATCTGGTTGGTTGTTGCTGAGACATGTTGCTCTACAAAGGTTAATTATGTAGTGAGAATTGATAGTTTTGTTGTAAAGAGATGATTGCTCTGCAGAGGGTCATTCTGCAGAGGTGTTACTGTATTTACACACTCTTAAAATCATTATTTAGTTTTAAAATATATTTACGGTGATAATTCAAGTTAAACAGTAAATTTACTTTACAACTTTTTATTGAATTTTTCTGTAAGAATTTAATTTGATACATTGTTTATTGAATATTTTATTTGTTGTTATTTAGGTTTTCTTGTCACTGAAAGGAACTAAAGGGAAGATAACTCGTACAAGACTGTCAAAGAAGGCGGGGTCTGTAAAGTCTAGTAAAAAAGTAGCATTTAAGTTCTCAAAGGGTACCACACACATGTTCAAGATACGAGGACCGGAATTAGGCGAAATTAAATCTCTAGTCATGGAGGTATGTTCAGTCTTCACTGTTTGTTGTCTGACATTGTTGTGTGAAATAAGACTTTGTAAGCTTTGTATAATGGTTATATATAGGGAAGAACTTACAGAAATTTTCTTTTTACATCAGCTCTATCCTGTTTAATTTGTCACTTAGATCTAATTTGTTCAAAGGGGTATTTCGAGGAATAATATATTTCCGATATTTGGTCATATTCTTTCTTCAAGGTAAAAAGAATCAAAGTGACATGCTACTTTTCATTTTGATGGGGTCACATAATTTTCAGTCACATAATGTTGTAACAAAAAGTTGAGTTACTAATATACAAAATGTACCAAGTAACAAATTACAACATATAGCTGGTTACCAACTTACTTGGCTGTAAATGATACATATAGCAATGTTTTGTGATAAATAATATGTTGTAGAATAATGCATGATTCAAGTTCAAATGCATAGAAATATAATCAGGAAAGTCTGTGTAATAAATAAGAAAGCATTTGAATGATAAACCATGCATAATATACTTCAGGGTAAGAAAAATTAAGATTTATTTCCATTGTTACAACGTAATCGAAAGAGAATTGATAAAAATATGTTGAGCTACATTGAGCAGAATAATATTTTCTGACATCAACTGGTTTATTTACATCAAATCTGATGTCATAGGTCATGTCAGCATTCTTTTTTATGCCATTCATATAAAGTGAAATAATGAAATCCACTGCCTGGTTTGTTTAGTAGGGAAATAATTTGAAGTGTGTTAGAATAATAAAAGTTTAAGCTGCAACTGCTATGTTACTATTTTTAGCATGATGGTATAAAGAAAGAAGATGGCTGGTTCCTACAGGAAGTGGAAATTGTCAACACCAAGAGAAAAAAGTCCTGGCTATTCATGTGTAACTCCTGGTTATCATTGTACCATAGTGACGGTCATTCAAAGAGAGAATTTTTTCCACATTTAGGCTCAAAAACAGGTACGCAGAATTATTTTCCAAAAACCATGGGATTTATTTCTGCACATAGATAATTGAAATGTTTGCATGTTTCCCTCATTTATTCATGAACTCTGTTTTGTGAGGAAGCTATCCAGCTAGCTGATGGAAGGTCAGTGGTTCTACTCAAGTGTGAGCATGTGCCAGAAATAATGCTGTGAAATCACCATATATCTTTAATTACTTTAACCAGTGTAACTTAAAACCCAACTTTAATTTTGTTCTCACTTTAGACAAAAGTATGTCAATGATTCATTTTACAGCCATATGAATATCTGTAATATATTTGATGTTGAATTGGCAGGCCTGGATTGGATGGTAGAATGCATTACATTTTAAGACATTTAAGATTATTATATTTGTTATTACTTTTAAATAAAATGCATAGTCACTGTTCAATTGTTTTAGTTTTATATGACTTATTTTATATAATATATTTTCCCAATTTTAGATTATGAAATAGTGGTTGTTACTGGTGACATACTCAATGCAGGCACAGACTCTAACGTGTTTATAACCATATTTGGTAAAACGGGAGCTACGGCTAAAACTCATTTAAAAAGTGTCAAAAGTAAACAGCCCTTTCAACAAGGAACCAGCAACCTGTTTAAAATTCATTCAAATTGTGTTGGACCTCTTACAAAAATCAAAATAGAACATGATAATGTAGGTTTTGCACCCGGCTGGTATTTGGAAAGGGTAAGTTTTTATTTGATTTTGCTTATGTTTTTGGCCATTTTGTAAAGCAGCGTTAGGTAGTTTTTGTCATTGTTACATGTATTCATATTTTGTTGTCAGGTTTCTTGCTGTAATTGAAGAAAGATTTTTATTCAAATCTTGCTAGAAACTGTTGATTTGAGATAGAAATTTGAATTTGACCCAGTGAACTTCTTCTGCATTGCAGATTCTCATGCTTAGATGAGTGATCTAAGGACATAATCATTATATATGTTAGTTTGTGATCTATTCAAAATATCATGGTGAAGTTTTTTCTTGACAAATATGTAGAATTTTATTGAAATTATTTAAAATCTGTTCCCTAACATTTTTCCTATGAAAAAGTTTTGTTTAAACTTACTTTTTTGTCCTTTATATATCATGATAACTGTAAATGAAGTATATTGATTATTTCAATTTAAAACAACTTCTATTTCATTTCAGCTAACTCTGTTTCAAAACAGTTTATTTACAAAAACAGTGTTGTTTAATTTTATTTTCATTGTTCGTTTGTTAGATTGTTGTGACAGATTTATTACACCCAAAATGGAAGTATTATTTCCCGTGTAATCAGTGGCTAGCGAAGGACGAAGGAGATGGTGCAATATGCCGCACTCTGTTGGGTAGTAGAGATCCATTTGCTGTCAGGAAAGGTAAAAATAGGATATTGTATATTTCTATAAATTGTGATTGCTGTGAATTTGTGGTTTCCTCCCTTGGTTTGTTAAATCTTTTCAAAAACACATAATGATATTAAATTTTATGAGTTCTTCTTGGGTGAAGCAGTTGTTAATAAATTATTTATGATTATACTTGATAATATTTAGACAGATGTTGTAAGCAATCAAGTAACTTAAACATTCTAATCATTTGGGTTAAGAAAATGATGCATATAGGAGTTACATAGGAGTCACCAGTTTGTTGATTGAAAAAGTTTGTCAAATTTGATGCAATGTTCATAACAGTCCAATATGTCCAAATGGTCAAGGTCACATACTTTGGATCACTTGTGCTTCACCACAGTGGGTATAAATCCCACAAGTGACTTTGGATTGTTTCAAATGAGGAAGCTATTCAGGTAGCTTTAGGAAGGTCAGTGGCTCTACTATAGTGCCTGCTTTAGTCTGAAATAAGATACAAAGGAGCACCATCATTTCCACCAATATAGCTGGAAAGTTGCCATATGATCTTTAGAGTGTCTATGTGACTTAAAACCCAACCAAAACTAAAGTCAGCACTAATCGAATTTGAAAAATACTGAAGAGTTATGTTTCACCTTTACTGTCATATTTCATTTTGATCAAGCAGTATTTTTACCCATACTTTGTATTAGGTTCAGAGCTGGTATAAGTACAGTTGTTTTAAACAAACTTTTATCTGAATCAACCATATACAAAAACATTCAGTATATGTTCATATTTTGATAATTATAGTAGTGTACAAAAAGGGTGGTAAGTTGCAGTATTATTTATTTTCTTAAGTAATATGCATGTTACTAGTACTTTATTTTGGCGATGGCACTAGGGTCATAATATTGCATTATTATGGTACATGAGTTGCATGTAAATGCATGTTTCAAGTCATTGTGACTTTAAAAAGCATGTTTTATATTTTTCTTCTACAGGAATTGGTGAGCATGAGATAGTATTATTTCATAGAAAATATCCTTATTTTCAAAATGTGTATTATGTTCATTTGTTTTGATGTCTTGTCATTTTATTTCACTTTAAGCCAACAAAACAATTTTTTTAGTACAAGTTTCTACTTTTTTATCAATCATTCAGGGAAATTTGAGTCTGCTTGGTTAGCACAATAGGTAGAACATTGAAATTGTTATCTAGGGGTCACTGGTTCTATACCCAAGTGACGTGACATTTTTCCATGACATTGAGTCTTTAATGGGAGGTATATCCAGCGAGCTTATGGACCATGGATGGTTTTAATCAGGTGCACGTAAATGCCTAAAATAATGCATGGAAGGGCACCTGAGGTGTTCCTCCACCAGTAAAACTGGAAAGTCGCCATATGACCTTTTACTGTATTGGTGCGATGTAAAATCCAATAAAAAAACAACTAAAAAACTTAATTTCTTCACAAAACCATGATATTTTTACAGTCACTTTTCTATCCTGTAAATACATGATAATGTAAGCATAACAATAAAGAAATAGGACAGATTTATGCAATTTATACAGTTGATACTTATTTCATCAAATTATTATATCATTTAGTTTGTAATAATTCATGTGCAGCTTTAAGTTTAGACTATCAATTCTGGTTCAACCAATCAGTTCAAGCTTGTTTGTTTTATTTGTCCTGTATGTCGCTTCATGATACTCTATCTAAATGTCTGTTTGTCTGTTTGTATGTCTGTTGTTGTAAGTAAGGTTTTATGTTAAGGATTTTCCCAAAAAAATTATGAATCTTTACAAAGCTTATAATAAGAATTACACATACTCTATAACAATTACTACCTGTCTCTCTGAATCAAATTTTACCAATATTTTGCCACAGGATCTTGTTATTATATTAATAATTAACATCAATGTCCAATGCTTTCACCATATACAAAAAAAATGTAATTTTAGTATGGACAATTTAATAGGATTGTAATTAGACTTTTCTGACGGTAGTTGGACTTGGGGGTAAATTATTGATAGTTTTTTAGCTACAATTTTTAGCTCGACTTTTTTTTTTTTGAAAAAAAAAGTAGAGGTATTGTTATAGTCAGGTCGGCGTTGCCGTTGCCGTTGCCGTTGCCGTCCGAAAACTTGTACCTGGATCATAACTTTTTTATTTCTTGGTGTATTGTCTTCATACTTGGCCACAACAACCCTTGGGACAAGACCTTTCAGTAGACCACACTAACCTTGACCTTCATCCATAAATGACCTTGACCTTCAAGGTTAAAAGTCCAATTTTTGCTAGTTCATGCTGTTATTGGCTGTAACTTTGTTATTTTTGAATGGATTGTCTTCAAACTTGAACATAATAATCTTCAAGGATATCCCTTAAAAATAACCAGTCAGACCTTGACATTCACTCATCAATGACCTTGACTTGAAGGTCAAATTATTGAAATTTTCATTTTTTTGGCTATTATTGGCTGTAACTTTGTTATTTTTTGAATGGATTGTCTTCAAACTTGAACATAATAATCTTCAAAGATAACTGTTAAAAATATACTGAAAGACCTTGACCTTCACTCATTAATGACATTGTCTTTGAAGGTCAAATTATTGAAATTTTCATTGTTTTGGCGGTAACTGACTGTAACTTTGCTATTTTTGAAGGGATAAACTTCATATTATAACAGAACATTCTTAAGGACCAGACCTTGTTGTTTATCAAACCCAAATTTGCTTGGGCTCTTTAATGACCTTGACCTTGAAGGTTATATTACTGAATTTTCTCAGATTGTGCATTTATTGGTGTGTGTGTATGTATATGTATTATATATATATATATATAAATGTGTGTGTGTGTGTGTGTATGTATGTATGTATGTATATGTATATATATATATATATATATATATATATATATATATATATATATAATAGGTATATATATATATATATATATATATATATATAATAGGTATATATATATATATCAAATAGATATATATACATACATTATATATATATATATATATATATATATATATATATATATATATATATATATATATATATTATATATAAATATATATATATATATATATATACATATTTATATACATATATATATATATATATACATATATATATATATATATATATATATATATATACATATATATATATATATGCATGTATATATATATATATACACACACACACACATATACATATATATATATATATATATATAAATTGCGTCATTTTTTCTATTTTTAGAAATTGCATCATTTTTTTCTATTTCTAGAAATTGCGTCATTGTTGCTATTTTTAGAAATAGCTTCATTTTTTTTTCTATTTTTAGAAATTGCATCATTTTTTTCTATTTTTAGAAATTGCGTCATTGTTGCTATTTTTAGAAATTGCGTCATTTTTTCTATTTTTAGAAATTGCGTCATTGTTGCTATTTTTAGAATTTGTTGCTATTTTTAGAAATTGCGTCATTGTTGCTATTTTTAGAAATTGCGTCATTTTTTCTATTTTTAGAAATTGCGTCATTTTTTCTATTTTTAGAAATCAGTCATTTTTTTTTATTTTTAGAAATTGCGTCATTTTTTTATTTTTAGAAATTGCATCATTTTTTACTCTATTTTTAGAAATTGCATCATTTTTTTCTATTTTTAGAAATTGCGTCATTTTTTCTATTTTTAGAAATTGTGTCATTGTTGCTATTTTTTAGAAATTGCGTCATTTTTTTTATTTTTAGAATTTGTTGCTATTTTAAGAAATTGCGTCATTTTTTCTATTTTTAGAAATTGCGTCATTGTTGCTATTTTTAGAAATTGCGTCATTTTTTTCTATTTTTTAGAAATTGCGTCATTGTTGCTATTTTTAGAAATTGCGTCATTTTTTCTATTTTTAGAAATTGCGTCATTTTTTTCTATTTTAAGAAATTGCGTCATGTTGCTATTTTAAGAAATTGCGTACTGTTGCTATTTTTAGAAATATGCTTAATGTTTCTTTTCATATATATACAAAATATATAAAGAAAACTAATGTGACAAGACAGACCAACTAAATTTATAAAAAGGAAACGTTAATATATGTTCAAACCTTTCTATGTATGCGTTTAGAAAAAGTAAAAAGTCGAGCGTTGCCCCCGCCCGGCGGTGGCTCTTGTTAACTTAAACCTGTAACTTGTATATAGGGAGACTGGTATACTCTTGTTGAAGGTAAACCCTGAAATGAAATTCCTGATACTTACACAGGAAAGTTTACCTTCAAAGTAAGATAAATCCATTATATAAATTGGGCAGGATCAAGATTTTAAAGCAAAGCCAAAAACCAAAAATTTATTCTCTCATATTTTTGATAAAATGATTATGATATGTCACTACAGGAATTTTAATCCTTTATAAAATTTTAACATTTAACTGTTACCAGTGTTTTATACAGATACATGTTCATCTCTTTCCAGACACAAAGTACAAAGTGACTGTATACACTGGAAACAAGAAAGGTGCAGGGACTGACGCCAATGTTTATATCATACTGTTTGGAGAAAATGGTGACTCTGGTGAGAAAAGGCTCGATGATTCAAGAAACAATTTCGAGAGAGGACAGTAAGTGGTTTTACTCTGTTGAACCCCCCCCCCCCAAGCTTGCTATAGTTTGACTGGTTTTTTTTTCAATAAATGTAATTATAACAGTCTTAATACAGTCAAACATGACCAGGAAATGAGATATTTTTATGGTAGCCTTATATATGCACAATGAAAATTTAGATAGAATTATTTTTTAAATAAAATGAGTGGTATGTAAAGACAGGTTTTACTATATTTCATGTTGCCTGTTTTAGAGGTGGTATTATTGCTCATGTTCTTCTGTATAAATGTATTCATTTTCATAAAAAAAAAATTTGTGTTGTAAGTAAAATATGACAATAATAATCAAGGATCATTTGAGCTCGTTTGTCCATTCTGCTGTATTTGTTCCTACTCAAGCTACATGGGCCTTCCACCAGGGACATTATTAACTATTCCTTCATGTTGTAAAGCTATCAAAGTTAAGCTTTTGGTAGGTTGGAGGTTGATGGCTGCCTGATTAACAATGCTAGGTGTGTATAAGAGCCCTGTCCAAAAAAGAAATTCTACAGCTAATTTCATAAAAAATATTTTTAAATTTTTGGAATTGGTTGTTCTTTTCCCATACACAAATTCAATTTTCTCAAAGATTTGGTTGAACGTGATTTATGTTAACTTGAACGCCTAAATTTATTCTTTATATTTTATGTTTTATAACTGAATTATTTGTTGAAAAATCTAACATAAAGTTTGATTGAGCAAGACAACATTCAAAATAGATTATCTCTAAACTCCTATCAAGTCAAGTAATATGTTCATATTTTAAATGCAAAAGTTTGCAAGTATAAATAAGAGGGGAAAATAAAAAAAACAAACAACAAAAAAACAATACTTGCATGATTTCCAACATCTTGAAGTTTGCCAGTTTTGAAATTTGAGTACGCCTTTTTCATCTTTGATTCTAAACACAAGTTACTTTTGTTTCATTTAATATGATACCAATTATCTTACAATCTGGTATCTGTTTGTATCAAATTACAGTTATAGGATATTTAAGAGTTACAGTTGTTGGCTCTTTTTTGTTTTTTGCAATAACCAAGATATTAACTCTGCATGCTAAATATTGGCATGTCTATCTTTCAATCTGTGCAAAAGTGTTTATATTTTTTTTGGGGAAAATTTCAGAGTGCATAGTAATAGTTAATAGCAATCAGTGCAGACTATGATAAGATGGCACAGATGTACTGGCATGCCTTGGTCTGCACTGGTCACATGGGTATATTCAATTGCTGTCAGCTGGCTTAGGGTTAAGCTGAATTGTACAGAATGCTTGTTTGAACCAATTTTATATCCACTACCTCAAACTAACCAGGGTACGAACCCACAACCCTGGATTGTGGGGCAGACGTCTTAACCATTAACCTGTTTAAACTTTCCTTTGTTTTTTGTTGTTAGCTTGACTTTTTGAATAAACAGGTAGAGCTGTTGTACTCACCCTGGCATCGGCGTCTGCTACGGGGTCACACTTTGGTTACATTTTTGCTTGCCAGTTGGTATCTTCAAAACTACTGAAAGGAATGGTTTGAAACTTCACATACTTACTTGAGAGCATAATAGGAGAACGCCTACAATTTTAAATGTTTTTTAACGGAATTTTGATTCTTTTTGATGTTAGAAAATTCTATATTATCTAGGCTCTTGTTTAACTATCAAGCACTGAGAATACTCAAACACGCTGGCTTACTGACATGTCTTGGTTTTTTTTATTTATTGACATGAATTATGATAATGTTTAATCTCCTAGTACCAGTTTTAAAATTTCTTACATATGAGCCGTGTCATGACAAAACCAACATAGTGGGTTTGCGACCAGCATGGATCCAGACCAGCCTGCGCAGTCAGGTCAGGATCCATGCTGTTTGCTTACAGACCCTATAACAAGTAAAGAATCTGATAGCTAACAGCATGGATCCTGATCAGACTGCGCAGGCTGGTCTGGATCCATGCTGGTCGCAAACCCATTATGTTGGTTTTGTCGTGACACGGCTCAAAATTATTTTTTTTATCCTATTATGATTTTTTTCCTCAGACAGTATTCATTTTATCCTGGTTTTATATCATTTATTGCGTAAATTACCCATTTCTCATGTTTTATTGTGAGATATTTTAATTATCTCTTGTCATACACATGTAACCTTCTCCATTCCACACTACTTTAATGATTCAAAAACATACATGGCATAATTCAATTAAACTATAACATGTTTTGTCCATTAAACGTTTTTGGAATAGCTCAAGATGTTCTATCACTCAGAAATCACTGTTAAAATATTCAATAAACAAGTTAATCTTTCTCCTCGAAATTTTCACTTAATCAGAAACACAAAAATAATCAGTTTTCCCATCAATATTTTGTATTCCTATGTATACCTGCTACAGCAATTCTTACTTAATGATATTATGTCAAGAGGGTTATCGGCTGGGTAAAAACTCACCAAGCACTTAAGATTTTCATGAAATATTTCTATAATGAATGTATGGCAATAAAAGTCTGTGGAATATGAAATAATGTTTTAAGTTCCCTGCTGATTGAACTATAATTTACTTTTTGTGCTATTCATTATCTGTACTTACCATTTTACTTATGAAGTTTCAGGGGCCTTCCAGGAGCCCAATTGTACGATTTTTTTCAGGGGCCCTAGAGCCCAGTTGTACAACAGTTTTCAGGGGCTCTTGAGCCCAATTGTACAAGACTTTTCAGGGGCCCTCGAGCCCAGTTATACTAGAGTTTCAGGGGCACTGCAGCCCAATTACACTAGAGTTTTAGGCACCCCGTGATTTCTCCATGCTTTGGAATCACTTGCCATTTAACCCACAACTTGCTTAATTTTTGTTGAATGGGTTTTCACTGCTTTTAAACTTTGGACAGTCCAAAATTCAGATACAAAGTAGATAAATTAAGCTGCCTGGCCAGGCTCCTGTGATATGATATACACAAGTAGTTATTTTATTATCACATACCCATGCCGCTTTTTTGACCCAGTAAAAATGGAAGTGCACGGCTGTGCATATATTTTGATGTGATGTTATTTTCGTTATATAAACATAGCGTAAAGATGCGTTAAATGTTAGCATTTTACTATAGGCATAGTGAAAAATTGGTCATTTTTACTTCATACTGTCTTTAGTTTTGGTATGTGATAAATAGAATATTAAATTTATTGAACTTGTAGAATAATATATTACGTTCGCCAGAGGCTCGAAAAATATAATTTCATTCAATCAGTTCAGTATTAAACTTACACTTATATAAATTATATTATCAGATAAAATTTTATAAGTGTACTTTAAAAATTCAGAAAGTAGGTAAGACAGCCAGGGGCCATAACTCTGCTTTGTATATTGTTAAAATTTCAACATCATTTTGTACTTTAAAGTGTAATAATGTGTTTTTCTGTAGGGTAGTTATTTTTATTACCACAGGCCAGTTGTTTTTAATCACTAGATAAAAGAATTGTACAAGGATTGAAACAGCAGGTTGTGCATAACACAGTGTTTATTTATTTCTAGTAGAATTGGAATGCACCCATCGGCAAGGCATAAATTATGCTACTTTCTGTAAAGGTGCTTGTTATTTTTCAAGGCATTTAAGTAAAATGTTTAATGTATTATTCAGTGTAATAGAAATGAACAACTGCATTTTCTGAAACATTTTTATTAGAATTACAGTCGAACTTCGTTCGCTCGAACTCGGAGGGCCTGTGTAAATTTGTTCGAGAGATCGGTAGTTCGAGCCAACCGAGGTTGAACTATTATTACGTTGATCATATGCCTAAAGGTTTTCCTAGCTTACATCGGTCGAATGATAAATGCGTCAATATAATTGTTTGTTAGTACATCTGTTCGTCGAATACTTCATATTTAGAATTATTACCCCAGTGTTATAATTAAGTATTAACGGTACGCTGTGTTAATCTATATTCATACATATTGTAATTGGTTGAGTTCGATTGGGCAATCACACCAAACTTGTTGAACAATGTTCAAAATATATTTCTATGTTTATAATGGGATGAATTTAATTTTAAAAAATAAATTAATGGAATATTTATTAAAAAACATTTACAGTAGCATCTATTTGTAGTCATTTACTAAAATGAACACACATACAAGTATCATTCTATTAATAGATAACCACGGTTGTAATTAAAGCCGTACGGGTAAATGTCATTCTTTATTGGCATGCATATTTCACTTATTTCACAAATTATTTTCTTTTTATCATTACCATAAACGGCAAATCAACAATATTATCATACAAATAAATCGGTTACAACACCTCTTATTTTGTATCAATTAACCTTAATTACCTCTGTCACGATCACGAGGTGTTAAAAACATGTGTCGCCCACTGTCATTTATTTAGGACATACCGACTGTTCGACCGAAACGGTGTGATTTCTACTATATTTCTGCTGAAGGGACCAGAGATCAGGTTCGAGCGATCGGTATTTGAGCGATCTGAGGTAGAACAATATATATCATATAAGAATTTTGCCGGGACTGGGCGATGAGTTCGAGCGAAGGGAGGTATTCGAGCGATCCGAGTTCGAGCAAACGAAGTTTAACTGTATCTTAAAAGAACATGCTTTTTGAGTACAAACAACCAAATTTCTGCACTCAGTTCAAGATAAGACTGCTTATTTATCTTATTAAAACTAACTCTTGCAATTTTACATTTGTAAGTTAAGTCTAGTTATATTTTTGCTGGTATAAATATTATAGGCAGGTTTAGTCTAGTTGGTATTTAATTGCTGGCTAAGTCTAGTTATAATTTCACAGGTTTATATAGGCAGGTTCAGTCTAGTTGGTATTTATTTGCTGGCTAAGTCTAGCTATAATTTCACAGGTTTATATAGGCAGGTTTAGTCTAGTTGGTATTTTTGCTGGCTAAGTCTAGCTATAATTTTACAGGTTTATATAGGCAGGTTTAGTCTAGTTGGTATTTATTTGCTGGCTAAGTCTAGCTATAATTTCACAGGTTTATATAGGCAGGTTTAGTCTAGTTGGTATTTTTGCTGGCTAAATCTAGCTATAATTTGACAGGTTTATATAGGCAGGTTTAGTCTAGTTGGTATTTTTGCTGGCTAAATCTAGTTATAATTTCACAGGTTTATATAGGCAGGTTTAGTCTAGTTGGTATTTTTGCTGGCTAAATCTAGCTATAATTTTACAGGTTTATATAGGCAGGTTTAGTCTAGTTGGTATTTTTGCTGGCTAAGTCTAGCTATAATTTCACAGGTTTATATAGGCAGGTTCAGTCTAGTTGGTATTTATTTGCTGGCTAAGTCTAGCTATAATTTCACAGGTTTATATAGGCAGGTTCAGTCTAGTTGGTATTTATTTGCTGGCTAAGTCTAGCTATAATTTCACAGGTTTATATAGGCAGGTTTAGTCTAGTTGGTATTTATTTGCTGGCTAAGTCTAGCTATAATTTTACAGGTTTATATAGGCAGGTTTAGTCTAGTTGGTATTTTTGCTGGCTAAATCTAGCTATAATTTTACAGGTTTATATAGGCAGGTTTAGTCTGGTAGGTATTTTTTTGCTGGCTAAGTCTAGCTATAATTTTACAGGTTTATATAGGCAGGTTTAGTCTAGTTGGTATTTTTGCTGGCTAAGTCTAGCTATAATTTTACAGGTTTATATAGGCAGGTTTAGTCTAGTTGGTATTTTTGCTGGCTAAATCTAGTTATAATTTTATAGGTTTATATAGGCAGGTTTTGTCTGGTAGGTATTTTTTTTCTGGCTAAGTCTAGTTATAATTTTACAGGGTTATATTGGTAGGTGGTTTAGTCTAGCAATTTTTAGGAAGGAACACAGGTAGTTTGTTTTGTCTTAAAGTTATGGTTTGGCAGGTATATATAAATTATTGCTATGACAAAACCATATTTTAATGTTTAAAATGTGGGCACCTGAGACCTTCAGTTTGCTTTAAAAGTGAACCAAGCTCAGGCTGTTTAAGATTTCTTTGCCACAAGAAGAACAAATTGAGTTGTGGTTCCAATATTTGATAATCAAAAAGAAATAGTGTCTAGTATTTTCTCAGATTTATTGGTTACCAGGTGATATAACACCTGTAGCTGCTGAGTGGTATTCAAGGTGGTAACATAAAATTTGTAACAGGTTCCAGAATTACAGTAATTGCGGGAAGAGGAAAACAGCTAATGTCTTCCTCACATATTCTCTTCTTTTATATCTATAGCAGTTTTTTAGGGCCATGCTCCTCTAACATTGTATTTTTTATCAAATGTTTAATCAATTTCAAGCCCTTTCCCTTAGCTCTCTACCCACAGCACTCTACCCCTGGATGATTGCAGGAAAATGCCAAGGAAATGAAACCAACTTTTTACTCTAATGCTTGTCTTCTGCACTGCCAAATCTATTCAATGGCTCTTTTTGTGACAGAATAGCAGGTGATATTCCATTTCACATTGCAGGATTTTATTGGGGATGGGCAAGGCTTGAAACAGGGGGTTTGGTAATCTAAAAGACAAAGCCCGAACTGTTATCCAATGATTAGATATTGGGTAGCAGGAGTTACAATAGACTGGTGCATTAGTTGACAAGATTTCTTTCTTTGATCTTTACAAAGGGGGAAAAATGAGACTAAGAATGTCAAAGTTTTACCATGTTTTTTAAAATGTTATGAAACAAAGTTTTTTGTTGTCAAAAAAAAAAAACAAAACAAAAAAAAACAGGAAAAACAAAAAACCTGCAGAAATGAAACGGGTTGAGGATATCTCCCTGTAATAGTTTAAAGGTTTTGATATAATTCTAAAAGATTCGATTGGTTCCTTGTTTTTCCCATTTTTTGTACATGTATACTGCTAAAATTTTATATTTGTATTTTATTTCCACTCAAACTGTTTTAACTCTTATCCTGCTGAGGCAAGTGAATATACCCATGTGATCACTGCAGACCATGATTGGTGACAGCTGAATATACCCATGTGATCAGTGCAGACCACTATTGGTGGCAGCTGAATATACCCATGTGATCAGTGCAGACCACAATTGGTGGCAGCTGAATATACCCATGTGATCAGTGCAGACCACAATTGGTGGCAAGTGAATATACCCATGTGATCACTGCAGACCATGATTGGTGGCAGCTGAATATACCCATGTGATCAGTGCAGACCACAATTGGTGACAGCTGAATATATCCATGTGATCAGTGCAGACCACTATTGGTGGCAGCTGAATATACCCATGTGATCAGTGCAGACCATGATTGGTGGCAAGTGAATGTACCCATGTGATCACTGCAGACCATGATTGGTGGCAGCTGAATATACCCATGTGATTAGTGCAGATTACAATCAGCAGGCACATATTTGCTGTTCAATCTTGGTCTGCACTGTTGGCTTTTCTGTCAGTTCTTATTTTGAAATTTTGCTTACAAATGATGAATGTTTTTATCTGATATTGAAAGACGAATAAGTTCATTTATGATATATAGCATTGTAATTAAAGGTTAATATATTTTCTCTGTTCATTCCAGGAAGGATGAGTTTACATTTGAATGTCCATGCCTGGGTAGATTGGAGAGAATTCGTATAGGTCATGACAATGCGGGATTTGGACCTGGCTGGTTCCTTGAAAAGGTAAGAATTGTTTCAGGTTCCTTCCTGCTTGTTTTTCAGGTCTTAAGTTCCTATATATTTTTTCAGTTGCAAGGCTCTTATGATTCTATGTTCAAAGTTATATCTGAGGTATTTGATTGGTCAGAAATGAGCAAAGAATTTAAATTGACCAATGAAAATCTTGAGATTTGAGACAAAGCTCAGGAAAAGTTTTATACCCTCTAGGACCTACCCTTACCTTTTCTAGTCTTAAGTTCCTATGATATTTTTTTGTTCAGACTCCCACACAAAAGTTTTTAACCACAGGTTTTGTGAGGGAAAAATCTGGTAAAACTATTGCTGAATTATTTTATAACCATGTTCATCGCTTATGTTTTAGTTTTTTTGTGCGATAGAAATGTAGCCTTGATTATGTTATATGTATTTTAAATTGAGTCTTCCCCTTTCTTTATGAAGATGCATATTAACACACATTGATCATCTAAAATCTGTTATATTGAATTTTTACTGTTAAATCCGAGGTAAAGGGTCCATTGTATAAAGGTTTGCTAAAACCCAGATGTTCATTTGGGAATTTAAACTACCAATGCAATGTGACCTTGAAGAATAAATTGGGTTTTATTAAGTTAAATTTGATATCTAATCACCCATCTTATATCAACAGATTCAAGTCACACAAGTGATTCTCTCTTCTCGTCATTTGCACTTTTTGTTTTGAGAGTACCGGTATTTGCTATGTTCATATGCTATTTTCGTGCTTTTTTTTAACAGTTTTAATTTATTTTCAAGGCCATTTTCCTGTCTTTTACAATGTTAATTTATTTACCCTAGTTTGATTACCCAAATCAGATCTTCACTGTGAAGGTAGCATGAGACCCAGACATTTGGCAGGTGTCCATTAATTATGATATCAATTAATTTAATTTCATTTACATTATCTCCTTATACCTTAAAGTAGTTTATTATAGAATGTAATTCAGTTGAAGGAGCTATAAGAATACAAACACCCTCAAGTCTGTACCAGGAAAGAACTGGTACTAAGCAATAAGTGTAAAAATGTCTTGCTCTGGGTTTGAACCAACTTCACAGGCCAGCAATCCTTAGAATACTAGTCAGATGTTTTTACCGCTTGCCACATATACTCTGGCATATCATAAGGTCTTTATTCTGAAGCTAACATTTAAGGTCAACAGTTTTCACCAAGGTGCCTGAACTTGAAAGATGCATGAGGCTAGCACCTTGCCCTCTCTTTACCAGTGAACATTCATATTAATCGTATGATTTCAATGTTGATTTTGTTACATATATTCTAAATCCTCTGTTTTCTCAGTCATGTCACAGAAAACTAAATTTACCAACCCCATCACAAAGACCACATCACACAAATAAAATCAAACAACAGAACAAAGTCCTAAATATCTTTAACACCACAAAAGCAACAACAAATTCCACCCTCATTACAGAAAAAAATGTTAAACAAAAAAAAGAAGTCTTTTTCCTAAGCTACTAAAACAAGAACAAATCTTTCACCATGATTTAAAAACAGCAACAAAAACAAATGAGCCGCGTCACGACAAAACCAACATAATGCGTTTGCGACCAGCATGGATCCAGACCAGCCTGCGCATCCGCCCAGTCTGATCAGGATCCATGCTGTTCGCTTTCAGTTTCTCCACTTGTAACAGAGTTGGTAAGCCCTGATCAGACTGCGCGGATGCGCAGGCTGGTCTTGACCCATGCTGGTCGCAAACCCACTATGTTGGTTTTGTCGTGACGCGGCTCAAATCTCATATTCCAATCACGTCATAGAAGATAGCAACAACACCCCATATCTCACATCAAAAAAAGAGTCAAATTTATTTCTTGTAATAAAAGTATTTAACTAATTATTAATAGGAATATCAAAGAGGTTTACAGTCTGTATATTCAAGTAATGTACAAATGATTTGTTTACTGTATATCTTGAGAATATATATATTGCTATAAATCAATGTCTGATAAGAGAAAATTGATAATGTCTAAGATAAAGTGCACAGATACTAAAATTTTAATTTAGGCCAACAAATATTATATATCATTTCTGTCCCTTCTCTTTAGGTATGTATTGAAATGAGTTATGCCCCAGTCTGTTGCAACTATGGCCTACTTTTAACTTTTTGCTGTCCTCTCTCAAGGCAAAGGTTTTTGTTGGTGAAGTTCCAAGAATTTATGGTGATGAAGGGATCATTGCCTAAATTTCAAAATTGGAGACAAACAATATTAACTTTGGCCTGACAAATTCAATTCTGCATGATAACATGTATTTTAGACCTGTTGAAAATTAGAGCACAGCAAGTCAAATATTAGAATAATGTCTAGTCATTTGCTTATAGATTAGAAAAAAAAGTCTTGTTTAAGCTGATCTGTCAGATAAAAGGGAAAAGATTGAGTTATATAATTCATTCAATGTACATAGTTGATCAATTGAATGAAGATGCATTGTAAATCAAAGAAAGGCTTCCTAAAGGCTCTGGAGGTTGCAAGGTCCATGCAACATCAATGAATAATTGTTCCATTATCAAAGGTAGGCTTCTTGAAGTCTTGACAGGTTGTAGATTGTTTTCTCCAATTGAATGAAAATGTTCTGTATATCAAATAGATCTGTCTCAAAGTCTGGGTAGGTCACAAGTTCAATACTCAGTCACTCTGGTTCATTCCATGGCCCAATTGATTGAACATGGTTCATCTTTTGAAGATAGACTTCTTAAGGTCTTGGAAGGTCATAAGTTTGATCCACAGTTTAGCTAAAGGAAAGTTCATTATAAAAATAGTTGTTGCTTGTTTTGTGTTCAGGGGATACTTCTAGATACAGCAAATTATGTGGCAGGATGATGTATACTTTTTTGTTGACTATTTATGCATTCAGAGCTTACTACTCCAACAAATCATCTATCACTTTTTTTAAGAGAATAATTGAATTATTGGAAGCATTTGTCCTGAACTTCTCTGTGGCCAGGACTGCGTCATCTCTGGTGTGGGGCTCTTAAGGGTGTAATGCAGTAGATGTTGGGTGGAATGCACAAATGGAGTATGGTAACACTCTGGAAGTTGTTGTTTTTTTACTGAGGTTTCTGGTATAAGTAAACAATTCAGCTAACAGTAAATATGGCAGGGAGTGCCTACCATAGATTGTTGTGTAACAATCAATGCCATTAAATTTTATAAAATACAAGTGGTTGTTCCTAACGAGACTGTAGTTAAGGAGCTTAAGGTGACCAGACCTCTTGGGCAATAAAGACAATTTTTATTTTCATTTTTGAGAGCTGAAAGCTCTGTCCATTATCACTTTTGGCTACTTGATCCCACTTGTGCATAAAATAACAAGATAATGGGAGATGAAATTTAAACTTTTGTCAATATTCATTGCACAAGTAAGTTAAATTTTAGTTTTTTGCTGAGTCATTAATTTTATATCATAAGTTTGTATCGATGAAATTATGTTCCTCATTGCAACATACAAAGATAATGTTGCAATGAACATCATTCATTGCAGCACTAATTTAACTTTAGTAACTTAAAGTAAAAGTTTTAGTTGATCATTACCTGTAAATTTTGTATTTGATGAGACACAGGGCTCCTAGAATTTTGATAGAGAAACTGATAGTATATTATTCTCAAATAAACAGTATATTAACCTATTGCACTTCAGATTCCCATTAAGATAGAGAAGAAAAATGAATGAAAGTTTATAAACAGAGTGCTTAAAACTGTACTCTACCATACTGTTAAAGATTGATTAGGGAAGGTAATAAGGTAAAAGTGTTTTGTTTATAATGCTTACCACGCAAAATTTCATAAAAGGACTTGTCCATCTTTCAATATCAGGATTAAACCATTCATCATTTTAAGGGAAAATTTCAAGATATGTAAATTGAGTGAATAGCAAACTGTACAGACCATGACCAGAGGGCGTGGATGTGCAGCATGATCTTGGTCTGCACTAGTGGTATATGGGTACACAATGTAGAGTGATTTACAGTTGCCACCAGGGGGCTAAAATCATTTAGGCGAAATAATGAAATAATTGTTAACAATGATGGTTTCATACCATAGCATATAACCTTTTAAAATATTACGACAAAGAAATAAACATTTCTATTTCTATTGCTTTCACAAATACATTTTACTTAATCAGATTATAAAATAATATGGCTTTACACTTTATTCCAAAAATAAACAATTTACAAATATTTTGCATTCAAATAGGAAATTCATTAACAGCACAATAATAAAATTAACAAAGAACATATTTTACCACTAAAAGTCACATAAAAAGAGTGTTTTAAATACTTACATATGTTTCTTTGAAATTCATATCATAATTTCAAAGGATTTAAACATTTCATTGGTAATTAATTACCAGAATTAATCTGGTAATTTTCAGTCTGGTTGATCATGTTCACTCAAACAATTAGAAAACGAAGTTCACATGTAGACTCAGTCCCAGATTAATAACTATAAGGCAATGTGTCACTATTGATTATAAAAACCAGGTCAATATTTGTTTTTTATTTCTTATGAAAAGAAGAAAAAAAGGCAGTAAGAGTGTGTCTATTTGGCTGTAATTGTCTCCCTTTATTCATTCAATAAAAGGGAGTTAACTCCAGTTGCATTGAATATATATTTGAGGTATTCCTGTGATTTGTCAGTGGGTGGGTTATGTATCAAGGAATGGTTACTCCACATTCGTACCACAATGGTGTAGGACTGAAGAATGATAACTGCGTTCTTATCGGAACTTCACCCCAATTTCGTCGTCTATAACCTGAAAAAGAAGAGAAAACAACAGTGCAAGGGTATAGCTGATTTCAAAAGAAGGATAGCACCTTATATATTTATTGCAATGGTTTCAACCATGATAGTAAAAGTTTGGTGTCACTCAGGTTTCTGTGTCTAAAAATTTTATTTCAACCGTTAGCCCACTTACATTTCTTACAAAGTCTGGTCCATCTTTCAGTTTCTGAAAAATGCGCATTCATCCTTTTACGGGAAATCTTTAGAATAATAAGTGAATAAAGAACAGTGCAGACCATGATCAGATGGCATGGATGTGGCAGTTGATTTTGGTCTGCACTGGTTGCAATGGTAAAATTATTTGCTGCCAGCAGGGTAAACATTAATAAGATTTCTAAAATCATATAGAATTTGTCCAGAATACTGAAAATTAAAATTCATAATAAGCATAATAAAACAAAACGAAAATAAAAACTGAAAAAAAGAGAGGAAAAAACGCACAATTTCTTTATCAATAATGAATGTGGAATGGAATAGAGATTCCTATGGTTTTCCTGCATGCACGTCTTAATTTAAACCATTAATTGAAACAAATGAGAGAGATTATGTAGCAATGATAAGACCAGGCTACAGTATAATGTTTCTTCTATTACAAAGTGCCTTTAGGCGGTAGCAAGTGGGTAGTTATCAAAAAGAATATATATATACTTGACATTTATACATGCACCTGTTGTTTTTCGTTATAATTGGCTTGTAACATTATTGGTTGAAATAAGTATTATGATTCAATGAAACAGTAGGTTCACAACGAAATGTAGGATAATAATTTGTAAATCGTGTTTGTATTTAAATATAACATAAACATCATGTCAATCTAAAATTTAAAACTACCCCGAGCTTTAAGCCGACTCCTTAACTCTCAATAAGACAAGCATCAGATTTGTAATATCGGGGTAGCTGATTTGCTCCTTGGGTGAGGTGAAATGTTGTCGGTTAGTTATCCAGGAAAGGTGGTTAACTTAAGTAAACTTGCCACTGTGATTACAAAGATATGTCAGATTGACTTAAAATCAAACAACTAACCCTCACCCTCTTCTCTTTCATCCAAAAACCATTATGAATAATTATTTATCAGTTAACAGTGTAGTTTTAACTTCAACAGATGATGCAGGTTAATTTTGCCCCTTTGAAATTTGTTGTTTTTTTGTTGTTTTTTTTTGGGGGGGGGATCAGTGGTAATTTTTTTTTCAATGGTAAATTGAACAGAATTTATTTTAAGTATATTTTAAATTAATCTTAGTCCAATGGACTTAGGATTTAAACTTACTTTTCCTAGCAGAAAAAAACAACAACATCTAATAAAACAATGCTTATGTAGAGCACTGTTGTAACTAGCTTATGCTCCTACCTCAGGGGCACTTCACCAATAAAGCTGGAATGTGGCCATTTTGACTTTTTCATTGATATTTAGAATGAAATATATAAAAAAAAATACACAAACAATTTTGTTAATTTACTATTTTTCAAGATACGAGATGTTTTGAGGATGAACAGATTTAGACAACATGGATAATTTTTAGATATTTTCCCTTACCTGGTATCCTACTAAAATCAGTAGCACCTTTCCCAAGTTTCACAGGCGAATTTTTGGAAGCTCCCACAAATTCACAATGATCTTCACCATTTTGAATTGTATCTCCAATATTTAAAAATGTTCCATTGAGTGAGTCACTAAGATAGATTTTATATCGTTTTTCTGAACACAGGACAACTCCAACATAGATACCTACATCATATCCCGTTTTCTTTACATATTTTTTGCCACCATAGCATCCAGACCGGCTGAATGTATGGTTAAAATTAAATTGTGCCCATTGGTTTTTGTCAAGTGCATCTTCTGTTTTAATCCTCTCATTATACACTATGTTTTCCTGAATTTCTTTTATATCACGATTTACTTTATCAATTTTATTCAAACATTCTGTCTGATTCTTATAAACATCTGAAAATTTATAAGTGATATGTTCAAAGCCTTCCTGAATGAAATCAAAATCCTTTTTGTGATCTTGAACTAAAGAGGTTATATTATGTAGAACACTAGGCCAGGTGTCTTTCATTTTGTGTACAAAATCTACGGCATTTTGTATATCTATTTCATTTAATGCCTGCCCAAAATCGAAAGTGTCCTCATAATCTGGATTCAATGTTTCATTCAACTTATTAATTTGTTCAGTCATTTGTTTAATACTTCTCTCTAAGTTGTAATGTTTGTGCTTAACAGTTGCATTGAAAATCTGAAGACTGAATTGTGTTTGTCTGGCGGACTTTGAAGTAGCCTGAATGAGGTTTGAAACAGATATAGTTTGATTCTTTAAGTTTTCTATCTCCAATTTGATAGGATATGATTCAGATGAAAGTTTTGATAAAAGTCGATTTTCCATGGCAACTTTTTCGAGTTCAAATGTTCTTTTAATTTCTCCGGAAAGCATATTATCGTGCAGTAATGAGGACAGACCATTTCCAAGTGTTTCTATAGCATGCTCCATTTGTTCTATTCTGCCACTGATGTCTTGATAACCTTTGTTATCTTTAAACACATCTACATACTTGGAATCCAGCTTTTTATCAAAATTTTCACTCAATTTATTAAGTTTTACTTGGGTTTGATTTAAATGTTGGCCCACTATCTCCTTAACCTTACTGGTTTGTTTGTCAAGATGTTTTTTAACTTCACTATTCAATATCACAATAGCATCTTTTATATCAAGGTCTTTCGTAGACTCACTGTCAGATTGAAAAATCTTTGACTGAGGTTTCTCAGGCAGTTCATTATTGAATGCACTATCCGTTGTATCATATCTTTCCATCACATGCCTTTTATTATTATTAGCCATTTCTTTAGTGTTATGTTTCTCTACTTTAGAACTAGGATCATAGTCTCTCTTACTGTCATAACCACCAGCTCTGTTAAGTAATATTTCTGTGTTAAACTCATCTAAAAATTTACTGTTTTGTGACATGTAAGAGTTGAGTTCATTTCTTATGTCATGTTTTAGTTGTTGACGAAATTCATAATGAATATCCCGTTTTATTTCTTCTTTCATTTCTCCCATCTCCTTCCGCAGTGTAGATTTTATTAGTCTCACGATTCTTTTTCTATTGAAAGTCTCAACAACTACTTCCTTTACTCTATCCGTGTCTCTTTCTCTCGTCAAATTAGTTTGAATATTAGTCACACTGTTTTCTAGTTTCTCTAACCGTTTGGAAATTTCGCCATTGTCACGGCCATGATTTAAAGTGTATGTAAGACGTACATTAATTCTGCCAATGTCGTGACGTATAGAATTGAGCTGACTTTCGACAGATTTCAGTTTCTGATCAGTCTGATAGTCACTACCTCCGGTACAAACAGTCTTCAGGCTTTCCTTCGGAACCATTAAACTAACCATACAATTGTCTTGCGGATCTTTAACGGCAACAGTACATAACACGATCGCCATCTTGCTGAATACCATAATGTATCGTAGAAGCATTTTGTTTACAGTTGCAACTTTCAGACTTCGGACTTCGGTTTTGACATTGAAGAGATTTGAATTTTTTTATTTATTGTTGCTATGACACAGATGACTCTTTTGATGTATTTGATTATTTTCTCAATGATGCATCTTGTAAATTATCACTTCTCTCGCAACATCTGAAAACATAATAAAAGAAAATAAGGTTTAAATCATATTTTGATAACGTGAAATGCAGATAAAATGAGTATTTATTTCTAAAACAATGGTTATACAATTTAAAAATTGTAGTGATGGAAAAGAATTGTTCTTAAAAAAAAATGATTGTTTCTTTAAATAGCCCACCTCATACATTTATGAATGTATACCAATTATTTCATGCATGCAGGGTTATATCAAAATCAAAATGTTATCAATATTTTAAAGTACAATGTACCTGTATATTAAGATTATGTACAATCTATTTTGGTTTTCTAGGGCACTGGTTTTTATCAAATAGTTTATTATCAAGACATATTTTATCATTTTATAGATCCTTGCTTGTCAAAACTCTACTTTTCTTTATAAGTAAAGTCAAGTTTAGTTGTTACCTGTAATAAAATATGGGGGAAAAGAATGTGAATGAATCAATCATTGATTAAAGATAAATCAATCAATTTGTGCTTGAATCTTTTACTGATCTTATCTAAGTGCAGTGAATTTGCCCAGAAACACACATCAAATTATGCTATCATTACTTTAATATGCTTAGGTGGCTTAGAGTGCCCCATCACAAAAAAAATTATAAAGTTGGATAAAATAAGAAAAATTTGCAGACTACATTTTTAGCATAATGCATTTCAGTTTTCTCTTAATGCATAAGGAATAAAGACTGCAGCATTTTTTTAAAAAGTTTTTTTATTCTTAATCTTGACCGCTAACCCCTTCTGCCTGAACTTTTGTGATGGACTTGACCCTCTTTGAATAAAATCATGACAGTTTATTAAGGGTGTTTAATATACATATATTACATACAGGTTGAAATTAAACATCTGCTTTGCATTTTTGGTCATATTGCAATAGGCAATTTAAGTGGCTTTAATGATATCAAACTGCTGTATTGAAGCAAATATAGTTGCATGAATAACAAAAATAACCTCTAGCCTGCAGAGTCCAAACGAGATCAGTCTTTGCCACCCAGTATAGAGCAAGGCCAGCCTTTACTCCTATGCAGTCTGACCAGGCTCTATAAAGTTAGTAGCTAAATTTTTGTATTTTGATCTTGAAATTCCCTTAAAATTTGAATGGACTGTTCCAAATTCAAAGAAAGGTAAATTCCATTATACAATTTCAACAGTGTTGCGATAAAAACTTGAACTTGTGAACTGTATGGATAACAACTTAAATTGCTTGATTTTGATGACGTCTATTTCTTTTCCTTTTCTTTTCTTTATTACTTTTTAATCGTTTTGAAGATGGTAAATAAATCTGCCTACACACATTTTGAAATTCACTGGGTTACCAAAATTTGAATTAAATTCCTTTCAAGGATTTTATTATAACAGTTCATTTGCACTCTTCTGGTTCTTCATGTCAATAACCTTTAATTTTTGAGAAATTCTATTGCTTTTATATCAGTTTTTTTTGTATTACATTACAGTCATATAAATTAGAGCATATAATTTTTTCAGTCATTTCAATTCTATTAAGCATGTTAATCCTTCTCATACTTACCGGTTGCACTGAGGTCACCGTCTAAAAGGCTAAAAATTTAACTTCTAAAGTTATGCAAGACCAACTGGCATATATAATTAACATTAAAATTAGCAAAAGATAATAAAAAAGTATACTCAGAACTGATTTTTTCCCCCCAATTATTACCCTGATTTGAGTTAAAAGTTATTTTGTTTGGTAAATAACTGCCCACAATACTAAATTAACCTGAGGCTGGACACCAGTGACATCATGCCAACACTCTATCATGACTTGTCTCAGATGCTGGTAACCAAATAGTAATAGCACTGGCATTTTTGGAGTAAAATTTGAAAATAAATTTCTTGTTTTGCCAATGAACCATCTGAGTTACTTTGCAACCTTACAGAAATTTTCAATTTAAGTTCTTTCTGCTACTTTGTGATTTGTAATGGCTTGATACCTGATTTAACCCCCCCCCCCTCCCCCTTCCCCAAAAAAACAACAAAAAAAAACAACAACATTTTTATGTGTGCAATCATTATATAAAAAGATTTGTCCAAAATATTTGTTATGCTCTTTTTTTTGTTAAGAAAAAAATAAAAAGGAAACATAATATACATCCCAGTTGACTTCTGTTTATTTTTTTTAAAATTAAATGCTAAATGAAGTTTTGCCATTTTATGCTGATTTTATCATAAACATGACATGATTACATATATTTATTACTGTACATGATTGTGATATAAAAGTTCTATCTATCTTCTTAATTTTCACATAAAAAGAACTCACCTAGCTGTTATAATATCTAAATATCCAACAAAATTGCATAAAAAATCATAAACATATAAATAAATGCATGAATTCAATTCTATCTATCTTCTTAATTTTCACATAAAAAGAACTCACCTAGCTGTTATAATATCTAAATATCCAACAAAATTGCATAGAAAAATCATAAACATATAAATAAATGCATGAATTCAATTTGATTCATGCATTTGATATCACTTTTTGAACATAGTATAGATTTTAAACCTTTTCAAAATACTTTCACTTTATATAATCTTATGCGCATGAAAGCAAATATTTTCGGTATTAAATACACTTGCACTGTGAGCAAGGAGTTATTTATAATAACATAAGTTAAGTGCACTCTTAAATCATATCCTTCTTCTGTCATAATAGATGGATGGAACATTTAGGCCATCTGATTTTTATGAAGAAACAAAATTTTGATCCTGTTTAAAGCTGCATTGTCTCCAGGCAGGCCAGAATATTTTAAGAAAATCATTATTGAGAAAAATGCACTAAACTTTTAAGAAAGATAAAAACAAAGATCCAAGTTATATTTACCATGTTATGTGCAGTTTAAAACTGACTTTGCAGTATTTTATCACCATATTTCTACTGCGTTACTAACGCAGTAAGGGCTTTTTTGCATATGTTGACCACTTTTTGTGTTCATTTTCGCAGATTGTAAGTGCCAATTGGAATATGTAAATTACTTAATTTGTCCACCTCAAAATATTTTACTTTTAAATACATTTCCAAAATTTTCATGAAAATTAACATGAATCTGGAGGTGTGCTGCTTTAATGGAAAGAACAAGATTAATTTAACTATTGGTTTCTCAACTTAAAAAAAAATTCAGAGAATAGAAAATAAATAAATAAAAGATTGTTCTAAAATTTGTTGTAGTAAGCTATAAATATGCAAAATTTGATCTTAATAAAGGGAGACAATCTATGAATGTTTTGTTTTCTTGTTCTGTTACTCCCTCAATGTGAAGCAATTAAGAGCTATTTAAATGGAAAGGGATTCCTTGTTTTGTAACTCTTCAGGAAAAATACCAACAAAGCCTTGTTCTAGAATTGTTGTAATAAACTATTTATAAGCAAAGCATGATCTTGGTAAAGGGAGATAAATTGTGAATGTTTTGTTAGAATTATCCCCCTTGTGATTTAAATTTAAATAGGGATTGATTTAATAAAAAATTCTTAGCACATCACAACAATTTAATATGCTTATGAACAATTTGAGATAGAAAATTAAAACAGAATATAACAAAAACTATGTATAAATTTTCCAACAATGATATATATACATGTACTACTTGTAAACTCTAATTATTGGAGGACTCAGCAAGTGAAATCTATGAGCAATTATCATTATTTCATGCCTGAAACCCCATATACCTGTTTGCTTTATCAAATCTTTATTACTACAAACTTAAAATGATGAAAATTAAAGATAATGTTAATCTATGATAAGCCTTAAAGAAAGGCTTTGTCGTGATTCACTCACTGTAGAGCCAGGCCAGCCTACAGACATCTATGCTGTTGGACCAGGCTGGCTCTGCTATTGGTAGCTCAATATTTAGCATGTCTGTTTCAAAGAAAAAGTTGAGCTATTTGATAGCTGCTTTATAGCTGTCTTTTTGCAAAAGTTTTTGTGTTGCCCATTATTCAAACATATTAAAAGATATCAACATGAAATTTTGAATACTGACTTATTATGACGAAGAAAGGGGCGTATATCCTTAAAGCTATATTTCTAGGAGTTATGTCCCTTTTTAACTTAGAATTAATATATGTAAAATTTGGTTATTGCACAACCGACAAGAAATAATCACAAGCAACAGGTATTCTTGTTGTTTTTTGATATTGAAATCTCTTAAAACTTTAATAATGGACTATTCCCTATTCAAATTCAGCAGCTTAAGAGAGATAGGGTAAACTTATTTATTGTTGCCCCTTCGATGATTCTTTTAAAAAAGTGACTGCAAACATTTTTTAAAATTTTTCGGCCCTATGACAATTATTATTTCTTGTCCTAATTCTGCAAGGTGTAAAGCTTTATAAATTGTCATGTTAAAATAACATTTTACTAGGTCAATGAAAGGACAAACTTTTGGTACATCATCTCTTCTTTTAAGTAGATCTTGAAAGGTCTTGCCATTTGTTGATGGTAGTAAATGGTACTATGTAATTGTAGATCTTTAGGTTCATTAAAGGTTCATATAAATTCAGTTTCCTATTTTTAAGATAAAAACTGATTATGCATAGGCTTATACTAAAATATAGTATTTCATTTTGTCAACCAGGGAGACATTTTATATGATTATACTCAAAAATGAAATCAAATTTATGAACAGAGATATATAGTACACTTAAGTTTCGAAAACTTCACCTTAAGATAATTTTCATAACCATATCTAAGTTTTATAATACATGTACAGGTAGTTGATCAAAATTTAAAAAATCAATATTGATTATTTAAAACTAAAACATATAACTGCACCCTCAGAAGAGCTGTTTTAAAAGTGTCCTTTTTGGCAGTTAAAGAAGACACTTTCAAACACTTGTTACCTTCCCCGTGATTTTATTACTGCCAATGTTATGTAATAGTTAAATTGTACTTTGTTGATAATGTAGAATTATGTAGAAGCAAGTAGAATTGATGCCTGTTGATTTTTACTAAATTTCATGTGACACCTTTAAAAAAC